AGGCAGGCAGGCAGGCAGGCAGGCAGGCAGGCAGGCAGGCAGGCAGGCAGGCAGGCAGGCAGGCAGGCAGGCAGGCAGGCAGGCAGGCAGGCAGGCAGGCAGGCAGGCGTGGCACCGAGAACAACCCAACCCAACGCAGCCAACCGGCCGCTCGTCTCCACCGCTCGACCCTGGAACCACCTTCCACCCACCCCACGCTCACTACAGGTCCTCGCCCCTCTCGTCCATCCTTGGTCCCTCTTTTTCTTCTGCGCTTTCGATCGCCACACTTCAGCAACCGCACCGCACCATCCTGCCCTCGACGACCGACCGGCCACCGTGTTTACGACATCTGCAGCGCCTCGTCCGACGCACGCTCACAGACACAACTGCTAGACGGCCCTGTTCGCCCCCCTGACCAGCTTTCGCACTGCGACGCATCAGCTTCTGCTAGAGCTCTAACTGCTTCGCTCGCCTCGCCGCTTCCCCGATACTCACCCACGCATGTGGCGCACCAAGTCAAACGTCAGCCACGTCTCCAAGGCCAGCAAAAAGGAAATGGCCGCCAACCACGCAGCAACCGCCTCGCTCAGCGGGAGGCCCGGAAACCTCGATCCGGGTCAGCAGCACGTCCTCGCAAAGTTCCTGCAAAACGTGCGTGTCCCAGAGCGCGACGCTGGGGTGCCGACCGCGTCGTTTCTGCCGCGTCCGGCTCGCTGACCGTCCCTGTCTCCCGCTCTTTCTCGCCCATCCTCTTTCGTCGCCGGCCCGCAGATCCAAGAAAAGGGTATCTACAACCCCGAGCGGCATGATGAGGCCTGCCGTGAGTGTCTACTGCTCGTCGAGATGAGCCAGACCTGCCCATCGTGGCGCCTTGTCGGGACCGCCTGAACTGACGCTGCTCCTTGGCCCTGCCGCCCGCGCGCCTCTGCGCCCTTGTGTCCCCCGCAGTCTGCCGGTTCCTGCGGGCACGGAAGTGGGACCTGCCTGCCGCCGAGCTCATGTTTACCGAGGCGGAGAAGTGGAGGACCGAGTTTGGCGTCGAGAAGCTCTACCACGAGTTCGAGTACCCCGAGAAGGAAAAGGTGGACCAGTACTACCCGCAGTACTATCACAAGACCGACAAGGACGGCCGCCCCGTCTACATCGAGATGCTCGGCAAGCTCGACCTCAAGGCGCTGTACCAGGTGTGAGTGTCGCGCGTCGAGCCCGGCGATGTCGACCGCGGTGGCGGAGACTCTATGCGGCTGCTCGATCGGCAGGCTGACCCGCTGCGGCCCTACTTTAACCCCCTCCCGTCCCTCCCGTCCCTCCCCGGCCCGACAGGACGACGGCCGAGCGCCAGATCCAGAAGCTCGTCGTCGAGTATGAAAAGTTCCAGCGCGAGCGACTGCCCGTGTGCAGCGCCGAGCGCGGCGAGCTGGTCGAGACGTCGTGCACCATCATGGACCTCAAGGGCGTCGGCATCTCGCAGTTCTGGAAGGTGTCGACGTACGTCCAGCAGGCGTCCAACATCGGACAGCACTACTACCCGGAGACGATGGGCAAGTTCTACATCATCAACGCGCCCTACATCTTTACCACGGTGTGGTCGGTCATCAAGGGCTGGCTGGACCCGGTGACGGTGGAAAAGATCAAGATCCTGGGCAGCGGGTACAAGGCCGAGCTCTGCCAGCAGATTCCCGAGGACAACCTGCCAGAGGCGCTCGGCGGCAAGTGCAACTGCCCCGGCGGCTGCTCGCTCAGCGACGCCGGCCCCTGGAACACCGAAGAGGGCCGCCAGATTATCGCAAAGGTGCGCGACGAGGAAAAGCAGAAGCGCGCCAAGCACGAAAAGGAGGCAAGCACCGCCGCCCCCGCCGCCCCGGCCCCCGCGCCGGCCTCGAACGGACAGGCCGAGACGATCCCGCCGCCCACATCGTAGAGGTGCCCACCCTCCCAGAGGCGAGGCGAGGCGAGGCGAGGGGGCCCCCCGTCCCCCCGCCCGCATCGCATCGTGGCCGCTCTCTGCGCCTGTCCTATCCCACCCCCCCACCTCTGTAACCCCCTCTCTACACGATCCGACCCACGCGTCCCGGCCCGTTTCCATTCCCCCCCTAGAAAGACTCTTTCCTGTCACCATCACCGTGTCGTGCAGGCAGGTCGTCCCACGTCGTCGTCGTCGTCGTCGTCGTCGTCGTCGTCTTCGTCGTCGTCGTCGTCCATCTGTGTACATACATCAGGCTCTCGTGTCATCCATCGCCGTCCGTCATCCTCTTGCGCGTGTCGGCCCGACTGGACAGGACCTGGCTCCCGCTCGGCACACCCCATGCTGACCGATCTGGCCGATCTGACCCGACCCGACCCGCCGTGCCAGGACGCGTCGTCTTGTTGCTTTTCCCCTCGTCGCATACCCTCGATCCTAGCTCCATCCCCTGCGCTCCCTTCCTCTCCACCACCGCTCATCGACACCCACCACACCCGTACCGCCATCGTCCGTAGCAAAATGCAATCCCCTGCCAGCAACAACAACCGCCAAAAAAGCAACGACCATGGACGGGCTCGAACCGTCGACCTTGACATGAACGAACTTTCAGCGGTTCGAGCCGAAGTCCTAACAGTGTCACGCTCTGACCAACTGAGCTACACAGCCGCTTGATGTCACCCCGCCAAACTTTATGCAATATGAATGCTATACAACGATTTGGGGCTTCCGAAGCCCCCGGCAAACGGTTTAGATGCCCTCGCTGGCCGAGCAAGCGCACGCCCTCAACCTAGCTGGACATCGTCAGCCAGGAGATGACCAGCATTACGTTTGACTCGGCGACGACCGTACTCTGGTAGAGCGTCGCGGGCTGCAAGACGCAACGTTGGAGCTTGGCGAGGGTTCCACATCTGCCTACAAAAAGGCGCTTCGAGAAAAAGACCAAGGAAAAAGCATGACGAAAAGCCGAGATACCCAGCAGCTCACGCCGTGTCAAGACGGCCACGACCGAGGGTGTGGGACGCTACCTCTTGACTCTGATTATGCCCGCTCCGCATGACACACGACGTCCGATGGGCTCCCTGACATGTACATACACCGGTCTTCGTATACGACTTCAGGAACCGAGCTGGCTCATACAGTGAGATAGGAAGAAGGCGGAACCCCGAGCGTCGTATGGCAGCCGGGTGGCCGCTGCATGTCCAGAGCGGGAGCGGGACCCACCCAAAACGAAGCTGAGCCGACGAGAGGCGGGTGCAGAGGAAGGTATGTACAAGCAGGCAGACCGGCAGACGGGCAGGCAAGCAAGGTGCGCGTGGCTGCTGCCGATGTACGAAAACGCAGGCAGGCGGGCGAATGCACGCAGAGTCGCTGCAGACGGGAACGGGCAAAGGTGCGCGCCAGACTACTGGCATCTCTCTCTGCGACTGTTGGGCAGACATATCATACGAGAAGCAAGCAGCAAGCGGCTGCCGACGACGAGGAGCGCCTCTGACGGTCCAGATTCCGGTTCCATACATATGTACGGCGCCCCGTATGCCCGACAGCATGCGGCTATCAGCGTCTCGGGCGCACCGAGTCGTGGGACCGCTTCATCCTGTTTCTCCGCGCGGCTGAAGGTGCTTGCGGTCGAGGCCTTTGCAGACTCAGACGGTCATCCGTACCGTTACCGCATCTTGGGTAACCCCATCTCTGCTCGCGGAGCAGTCCAGGGCAAGAGATCGTTGCGCGGAGTGGATGCGCGCTGTGCTGCTGCTGGATGCCACGCCGCAGGCCCGAGACAGCACCTGGCTCCTTTTGGTGGTAGCGGCCGTGCGGGCCAGAACGCGCATCCGGTGGGTGTCAAAGCGAGACCAACACCTGGACCAACACACTGGACCGTCGGATCCAGCAAGGGCGCGCGGAGCCGGCGCGTTGGCACAGCAAGCAGCGCACTGCACCTTGCTCGACCGGCATGGGTACAACGAGCATCCGGCTGGGCTCCTCATCGGTCGACATGTTGGCGCCTTGACCGACGAGGCCAAGGCTAGATGGCTGACCTCCGCTGTTCCCGACATGGCCCGAGATGGGCCCAGGCATCCCCGCACCTCCAACCTCCGTTGGCAGCAGCAGTCCGACGCTCAGCCTGCCGGTTACTTCTCGTGCGTTTTGCCGCTCGCTCGCTCGTCGACCTGGCTCCTTGCCGTAAGTGCGTGCGCTCTGCAAGCAAGATCGAGCTTGCTCGCCGGGGTTAGGCAGAGCTCAGCAGCAGCTAGGCCTTCCTCTGCTGCTCGCTCGTGCATCCCCGTGCTCGTACCCGTACGGTTGCGCCGGCGTGTCCTTGGACCTGGCTGTGATGAAGCCTTTCGGCGGGCTTGGCGACGACTCCTTTTGGTCTGCTCTCATCCGCGCGCGGCCGTGCGCGGCATGCGGTGCCTTCGGGGCCCGCTATCAACCGGCCGTTCCGTCGGCATCCTGGGAAGGGCGAGAGGGCGGTCCACGGTCAAACAGCGTCGACGCGATCATCGCCGTAGCCCAAGGCAGAGGAGGGTGAGCAACAAATACACGGCCGTCGACTGGCTACGAGGTGGTGGTCAGAAGGCAGGGGGCGGGTGAGCCGGCAGCGTGCTCGCGGGCCAAGCCAGGTCCAGGCCAGGCGGATGATCGCGAGGGCAAAAAGGGATCTGCAGTCCATCATGAATCGATTCGAGCCGGGTGTGATCTTCTGACAGCAGCAGCCGAAAGCCAGCTGCGCTAGCGGACTGCGGCCTGCCCTCGCCTCACTACCGCCTGCCAGACCGGCCACACTTACCGGCCTCTGCCTGCCACGATGAGATCACGCCTGCCGGCACTCAGCCGGCCCGCTAGCCAACAGACCTGTCTCACTTCTCTGAGATCACACTCCCCCGGCGTCCGGCCAACGTACCTACGTCCGCCTGCCCGACTGCCTGCCTGACTGCCCGCCCCCCTCGCTCCGAAAACCTCGACGGCTCGACCCGACTGTATGGCCCTTATGGGCTGCGCAGGGCCAGCCTCCCTGAGACGCAGACGCTGTGAGCGATGCTCCGGCCAAGCCTACTAGAGTAGTACAGGTAGCCTGCTCTGCACACGGACGACGACGACGACGTTCGACTGCGCTGTCCTCGGATCGATGGGAAACAAACTCGCCTCTGCGGGCCATGACTTCTTGACACCTCGGCTCCACGGGGCTGGCCGGCCTCGACGTCGCCGCGCCAGCTGCCGTAGCCTGCGAGCGAGTTGGCGGCGTCAGGCATCTTCCATCACGTCCCCGGCCCTCTTCCCGTCCAGCTCCCATACGCCCGAGACGCAGAGGCTATGCAGCAGTGCGCACGGTGATAATCTATATGTGCTCAGCCCGACGCCGACAACAGCGGCGAGCGGGACTTCCGAGCCACGCTCGCTCGCCTTCGGGAAACCCAACGCGCAGCAGCGAACACGGCAGCATCACACCGCACCGCACCGCATCGCATCACGCCGCATCGCGACCGCATCACACCGCAGCTGTGTTGTCGTAGCGACACGAGCGCGCTCCGTCGGCCACTCGGGCCTCGAGCCGCTTCATATCATACGTGCCGATATACATATGTGCTGCACGTTCCAGCTGTAGCTGTAGCGCAGACAGCCAGTACTCCTGTGTTCCGTACTAAGTACAGCACAGCACTCGGCCGCCTGCGGTCCAAGAGCTCCTTACTGTGCGCGATGCTTTGAATGGACCCTTTGTCCACTTGATTGCCGAAAGTGCAGCGAAGCGGATGCCCGGCGCTGCGGGCCCAGGTCGATGCGCTGCTATGCAGACTCTCGCCACAGGGCAAGAATGGGAAAGCCCAGGTCAATCATCACACAAAGAGTCACATACCGGTACAGCTGCGGGCCGCACGGCCCCGCCGACCACTGTTCACGGCAGGGTCCAGCATCGAAAGCAACAGCGTGCAGCGTTACATACGGAGCGAGGGCGATGTACATACAAGCAAGCAAGGCGGGAAGCCTCGAAACGCGCCTTCGGCAGCCGAGACGAGAAGAAGCTGCTAGGGCGGCCTGCCTCTGCTTCGATGGAAGGGGCTCGCTCGTCGAGGCAGGCAGGCGTACGCATGCCCCAGCTTTTGCGCCGGACCAAAAGCCGTACGTCGGCGTGACCGCCCTCCGCTGTCCGTCACGTTCTTGTTATGGGGGAGATTGACTGACTGAGCGGGTGAGGGCGAAAGGTGGCGTCGAGTGGATGCGCCTTCAGCTTGACAGCGGCGGCGTCGGAAGCATGTGGGCCGGCAAGACATCCAGGGTGACGGGCGCTGGGCGCTGGGATGTTTGCCTCGCCCGGCCCATGAACACCTCGTCGGCCGTACCTTGGGTTCAATCCCCACCGCCTCGGCCGCCCTTTTGATGCGACGTCCTGTCACGGCGCCGCCGCAAACGCGTTGGACCCTGTCCGACTACGGCAGGCTAGGTACGTACCCAGCGAGACAACGCCGAGAGCGGGAGGCGAGGAAGAGGCAAGCCAGGCCTGCAATCGATGCAGCCAGAGAGTGCGTGCCTGTCGAGCTTCGTGTGTTTGCTGGCCTTGCTCTTCCTCCCTGCTGCCGCTGGTCAGCCTCCGTGTAGGCGATAGAGGTGGTGTGGGGATCACTTCCCAGCCCAGTGGATCGGCCCGTCATACGTCTCTCTCTCGGGGCGAGACGTTCGAGCCCTGCAGCGCTAGCCTGCCTGCTGTCGGTCAGCTGCGGTGCACGGAGACAGGCAAGCTAGAGTAGGTTGTACATACAGCGGCAGACCAGGCAACAGCCTAGCTCGCTCTGGCAGAAAGACACACAAGCCGAGGCTGGCCTGCTGGCCCGCGCGGGGACGGCGGTCAATTGCAGCCTCGTGGCCCGTCCGGACGCTCGCACTAGACCGCTTAGCGTCGTGCTACCTGTCGCTTGCGCTGCTATGGAGCGACGCTTGGGGGCGCGGGCTGTGCTCACAGAGGCTGGGCCGAGCAAGCATGCGCGCAAGCAGAGACAGGGTAGAGAAAAAGAGCCAAGCAAGCAAGCAGCGCGCAGGCAAGCAAGCCAGGACCCTTTTTGCGAGCCGCTGCGAATCTCGAAACGTGAATCGCTGACAACCGCCCATGCGCTCGCTCGCTCGTGGAGGGGCGCCGCTCGTCGAGCCGAAGGGCCTCATGTAGGCATGGCGCGATCTCCGCCTGTGCCTCGATGCCCGACCAGGTCCACACGAGCGGGCAACGCGCGAGCGCTCGCATGCTAGCGGCACATACGCTAGTACAGCGGCAGCGGACCCTAGCCTCTCCGTTCTCTTAGCATGCTTGCCGGCACCGCTCTGGCAGCAGCTTCCTACGGGCGAAGAGACGGGATGGCGCTCGGCTGTCCTCGCACTTTTCGAGACAGAGGTGCTTTGCTCTACCTTGCGGGCTCGGGATCGACAAACGAGGCCCGGAAAGGCGTTTCTGATTGCCATCGCTTGACGGCCCGGCTTCGCCCAGGAAGCGCCCTGCTCGCAAGCGATGCAATATCGCCGCGCAACGAGGACGGCATGATCGACGGAAGGTATGTTGGTGTGTGTGTGTGTGTCTGATGGGTAAGATCCGGAACCCAACGATGACGAGGCAGCTCGTTTCCTGATCTGGTGGAGGCAGGGCTCAAGGCAAGGAGCGATCCTGGTAGCGATGATGATCGAGGCGAGACGATGCGAAACGAGCGGTACGCACGCACGCACGCACGCACGCACGTACGCACGCACGCACACCTCGAGAGCGCAGATAGAATAGGCAGGCGGTGGTGGTTTCGAAAGACGCGTCCATGATGCTGCGGCGCAGCAGTGTTGGTCTCGCTTGCACGGGCGGCACAGGCAGGAGGGAGCCCAGCGTCCTGCCCGAGCACCACACATCACTCTTGCTCTGTACCGCCCGTGCACCGTGGATGGCATGTAAGAAAGCACTTACGGTGACAGACGAGGGCGCGGCCAAACAATCCGTTATTGCCTTTGATGCCTTCTTGCCTTGCTCTGTCAGAGCGCACAGGCTGGCAGGATGTGTAGGCTGGGCGCCGAGGCGCTGGTGAAATGGGCGATGATGTATGTCTGTGTGCGTGTGTGCATGTACCTAGGTCCTCGGCGCCGGGTCTGTTTGTTGGTTTTCATGCTGCTTGCCGCGGCGGTTTATGGGAGAGCACGGGCAAAAGAGCCTGCTGCTTGCTTGCTTGGCTCTGGTCTGCCTGCCGTCGCCGCTGCTTGGGCGGCCGAGTGTGGTTCCTTGGTGTGTGAACTCCTTGCTTGCTTTGTCCGCCCTGACGAGGGTCGTCGGGCGGCGGCGGCAACAAAGACATCGACCGCCCCAACTTGGCCCTCATGACAAGCTAGCAGCCAAGAAGCCGCCGCGCTCCGACCTGAGACTCATTACTGCTTGGCCTGGCAGGCCTGCCTGCCGTACGTACGCCTGTGTACCAGACGTACGTACAGCTGCACGACACACCCTTGGCCACCCGGGACCGCGCGTGTCGGACACTCACACGACCGAACGGGTAGGCACCAAGGGATCGCCACAGCCCCTGCCCGACGTGGGCTACGATGGCGTAGCGGACGGCTGGGCGGTAGGTACGTTGCCCTCCCGCCTTCGCCTCCGCACGCAACTCGGCCCAAGCCCGACGATTGCGGAGCGCGCCAAGTCGGTTCCCAGGCAATCTATCTGTGTCGGGTTCCACGGCCAAGGCGCCATGGACGGCAGAACTTGGGAGCAACCTAGCGCTTGGTCATTTCGGGACCCTTTGTCCGCCGACTCACTCTCGCCACACGAGCCAAGGGTGGTACCTAACTTAGGCAGAGGCTAGGTTCCCAGCTGGAGCCCGCCGGGCGGGCGAGCGGGTCTGTCCGCTCTCTCTTCCCAGCGGAAGGATATACCGGTACGGCACCTGTGCTGCTCGATCATCGCACGGCACGCAAAGCAAGGGGGCAACGCAGCAGCGGCGGACGGTCATCAGGAGCGAGCGGGCGGACGGGCAGGCGGAAGGCGAAACATGTGGCAAAGCCGGACGCCGAACGGGCGAGGACCGCGGGGGGAATCCGCAACAAGACGCAGCCAGAAGCAAGGCAGTCGGCCCTGGCTTGCTACAGTACCGAGAGAGGGCTGGCTGGTTGGTGACTTTCGGGCCAGAGAATCGAGGCGGTGCGGTAGGGTGTGCGTCGGCTGCCGCCCTTCCTGTCCCCACGATCAGAGTGCTCTCTTAGACGGGCCCTTCTTTGAGCTACCGTACCCGGACGTCGACCATCGCCGTGTGCAGACAGCATCCTGGTTCCATAGGCCACCTGCCACTCTTACACACCTGACTGACACTACTCTAAGACTGCCTCCGGCCCAACACTCTAGCTGTTCGCTCTCTGCCCCGCTTCTGAGCGCCTCTACGAGCAATCCTCAGCCGTTGCGCCGGAAGTACATAAAGGCCTAGACTGCTTTGGACCAGGACAGCGGCTCGAGCTACCCTACAGAGCGTCCTTCGTCCCCGCTCCCTTTGCCCCCTCGCCGTCCTCGCCGACTACTAGCTGCGACTTGCTCGCCCGTCTGCGCTCCGGCCTGCAGCGCCTTCGCTCCGTCACGACCCGCCGAGTGCAACGAAGTCCAGCCTGGCCTCGCCCGTCTCGCCACCCGCCAACCGCCAACCGCCGCCGCCGTCGCACGGCGCTCATTCGACCGGATCCGCTCGACCCCCGACCCAGCTCGAGACGCCGCCTGCCTACCTGCTGCCGCACGGCTCGGCTGCTCCTAGGCTCTTGCTTTTGTTCCCTTGCGTCCGCTTGCTTCCTGCCCTGCCTGCTTTCTTCTTGCCTGCCTTCCGGCGCAACGGACAGCACGCACACACGCACGCACGCACGCTTGCAAGGCCCTTTGCATGAAAGTGTCACATTCGGGCTTGACCTCACCTCTATCTCTCCATCTTCGATTCGACTCGACTCGATCCCGGCCTTGTCGCCACTCTGGCCAGTCCAGGCCCGCCCCGCCTCATCCGCCTGCCTGTCCAACTCGCTCGGCCGGTCTCGCCGCTCGACTCGGTCAGAGGACGGTCTAGCCCACCCCTTCCAAGCCTCTTCTACATACATATACTCAACCACCCATACCTACCTTGTGCTTGGTTGCTCTTTCACGCCATCCCATCGTTCTCCTCTGCATGCACCCTGTCGCCGCCGCCGCCAACCGCCGCCGAAGCCGCCGACGCTCTCCTCTCTGACATCACTTCCGTCACAACCAAGAATAATTAATCACGCCGCGGCCGTGCGCCCGCCTGGCAGACCACCTGCGCCCCCTCGCTACATCACAGCGCCGGCTGCACCTCTGCCCGACGACGACCGCGCTTCCTCCGCTACAGCACCACTACTGCCCACTGCTTTTGTACAACAGCCGCACAGCACGCGGCTGCCGCTTGCACCTCGATCTATTGCTCGCCGTCGTGCAGAACACCCACCTGCATTCGGCATTCAGCCAGCTACGCTCTAATCTAGGACGGGATCTCATCAGGAAGAAGCGAAGAAGCTAAGAAGAAAGCAAGGGAAGGGATAAAATTACAGGTGCATCGCCCTACCCACCGCACTGGCCATCCCTGCCGACAGAGGAGGGTGAAAGGGGAGACCAACACATCCACCTTCCAGCAGGCCAGAGCAACAACGAGAAAAACACCGCGAGGCAGGGCCACCGAGCATCTTGCTTCCTGCTCCTCATCCTCGTCCTCCCACCGATCCACGTACAACGTAACGCTGCCTTGACCAGCCCCGCGGGCCGCCAGTCACACGAGCTTACACTCGGTCACCTGCATCGCCCCGCCACGGCCTTCATCTTCCTAGCTTGCCCGCACCTGTTCATTTGGCGCTCCTCCACGCAGCCCCAGCCTACCACTACCACTACCCCTACTACTGCCTTCCCGACTTCGTCCAGCGCCTCGGGCGTCCGGCGTGCGCAGGCAACCTCGGGCCCAAAGCCGCGCCTTGCTGGTTCAATCCGAGCTTCGCTGCCCCTGGCTGCCCGATCTCGGCGGCTTCCGCTCCGCTCCGCCCCGTTGCGCTCCGCCCCGACACCGTCTCAGCACCTTCACATCGGACCGCTCCGGACGCAGCCTGCCTACAGCTCCAGCACGCACAGCGGCCTGGCACCGGCCTTTCTAACGAAGTCACGACCGCAACCACGACGACCCGCGCCACTCCTTGCAAAAAAGGGTGACCTAGACGAAACAGCCCACACGCTCGCGCCTGTGCCGATCTCCGTGGACCAGCATCGAGCCTAATCGACCCGTCCACTCGTCAGCCGTCACACTCGCAAGCATCACCTTGGGCCCCCCAACCTTACCGGGCCTTCAACCTTGCTTTTCCCCTCTCCTTCTCGACGAGCAGACGAGCGCGAGCGCAGCCGAGATCGGCCCTTATAAGTCTCGTACCAGGCCAGGCGACGTTACGCCGTCTCCTTCTTCCCTCGCAAGTCCCTTTGTGCCATCATCTTCCTCAAGTCCACCTCGTTCCTGGAAACCCGGAGGCCTTCTCGGGCCCTGAACCCTGCCTCGCATCAGCCCCAACGACGACCGAGCCGGCATGAGCAGGCGTCAAGGTCCGACTTCACTCGCGGTGCAGCCAGGGTCGGCGGCAGCCAGCGGCCCCGCACAAGACGTCGTCCTGCGCCACCTGGCCCACACGAGGGCAGCACACGGCGGCAGCGGTTCCAACACCGAGATGAGGGCCATCCTGCGTAAGGAGCGCGAGGTCGAACGGGCACGCGCTTCCTCCTCGCTCTCGAATCGAGAGAACGAGCCACCGGCGAGGCGCATGGCCAGCACCGCCTCGAGCATGATCACCAGCCTGTCGGACCGCAAGCTCACCCAGAACAGCAGCAGCAGCAGCAGCCTGGGCGCCGGATCGGCGCACGGCACCGACGACGGCCAGGAACCCCTGGCGCCGGCGCCGGCGAGTGGCGCTCCCTCGTCGCGATGGCCAGCTCACTCCCGGCGGCCGTCGAGCGCCAAGGGTTCGGCGCCGATCAGCGCGGGCCTTGCCAAGAACGTCGACCTCACACAGCAGCGTCAGGTCCCCACTTCGGATCGGGAGGGCAGCGTGTCGAGCGCCAGCTCGCGAATCCCTGCTCCGCCCGACTCTTTTGACCATAGCGTGAGTGCCGGCTTCCGACCTCTGCGACGCCCTCTCCCGCAAGGCACACGTCGACGACCGGCGCTGATACGAGTCCACCCTCACCCTGCTCCGGTGTCGATGTCAGTTTGGCGTCGATGCGCTGCAGGCCGCCTTTTCGGCAAAGTACTACGAGCTGGCGAACAAGTGCAAGAACTGGGAGCGCTACGCCGCCAAGCTGCGAGCGCAGAGCGAGGCGGTCGAGATCGAGAACCGCGTGCTGCGCGAGCAGATTGCCCAGCTCGAAGCCGACAACGCCGCCCTTCGCCACGAGCAGCTCCAGCGCGACCAGGCCCTCTACCGCCGTGACGTCGAGAGCCGTCTATCGACCCTCGAGGAGCGCCTGCCCGGCCGGATCCATTCCGGGGATGACCTCGACGAGCGCTACCGCTCCGGCGACACCCTCATCGATCTCGACCGTATCTCTGCGCCCTCGGCCCCCTCGTCAGCCAGCAAGAGCTCTGACGGCCGTCATCAGGGCCAGATGACGTACTGCTCGTCCAACCTGCAAGTCGAGGACCGTCCCGAGCTGCGTCCGCCCACGCCTGTCTCGGCGCTGTCGCTGCCCACGATGCTCCCCAGCGTCCCACGCCCCCAGGAGCTCGGTCCGCTATCATCGGGCCCGGGGCGACGTTCGCTCAACCACGCGCACGAAGAATCGCACGAGTGGCCGCCGTACAACAACAAACGCGACAGCGCTAGCCTGGCCGAGATCATCAACCAGGATGCCGCGCATCGTGAATTCGGCGCCCTGTACGGCGAGGGACGCTCGTCCCGCCTCGGTTCGCGCCGCGCAGAGTCCGACGTATCGGTCGCCGGTTCGCGTCTGCCAACTTCGGCCACCTTCCCGCCGGGACCTAACAGTGCATCGAACGATGCATCCGCGCTGACGAGCCAGGCCCTCGCCGCGATGAATCGTCAGCACGCTGCAATGGTCGGCGGCCAGCAAGCGCCATCGGCAAACAGGCTCGGGCAAGGCAACCTGCGTCCGACGCAGGGCAAGCGCAGGAGCACCATCTCGGTCGATCGCACCCTCGACCCTGGCCTTCAGCAGCTTGCCGGCATCCCGCCGTACTCGTCCGCGGCCGCGCCGGGTGCTGCCAGTGCAGGGGTTGATGCCAGAAGTCGGGGTCCGAGCGTCGTGTCGGAGGCAGCAACTGTGACGGGCGACTACCTTCAAGAGTACGTCGAGCAACGGCGTCAGCAGCGGAAGACGTCGTTCACCGTCCAGCAACAGCAGCAGCACAGCGCGCCTCTCGGGGCGGCGCAGTCGGGATCCCGTCCAGCCTCGAGGCTGAGCAACCATTCGGCGGGAGGCGACCGTACCCGGCGTGCGAGAAGCAGGGCCGGCAGCGTCCACGATGCCATCCCGATGCTCAAGGACGACGTCTTCAGCGACGGTGCCGCCGCCAACACCGCCCCGTCGAGATCGGGAGGCGCCTCGCCGCTGGCCGAGAACGTCAACGTGATCAACGGTGCCAACCTGTACGCCGATAGGGGGCTCGGGGCCAACTCGCCCTCGCCGCAGTCCAAGCAGCGTTCGGCGTTGATGGAGATCCGATGCAGCCAGCCGATGCTATCTTCGGACACGTCGCACAGCTCCCAATCGCTGCACTCGGGCATCGCCGACTACTCCAACTCTTCCACCGAGCTCTCGGACGCCGCCGAGGACCAGCGACGGGCTCATCGCGCGCTCTACGCCAGCCTGCGCGCCGAGCTCGACGCCGAAGACCTCGTCAAGTTTGAAAAGTACGTGCACCGCTACGATGCGCTCGAGATCGGCCTCGACGGGCCGCGCGGCCTGATCAACCGGGTCAAGAAGCTGCTGCTCCTCACTGACCCGGACCTCAAGTCGAAGCCCGAGAAGCTGCGCGTGCGAAAGGAGCTCGCCCGCGAGTTCGAGAAGGTCGTCAAGAACACGGCGTCCTGAGCATCGCCGAGCTCCCGCACCCGGGTCTTTCCGGCTGTCGCCTTTGGCGAGGCGAGGGGAGCCCATTCCGCTGCCTATTGCTCTTGCACTTGCATCGTTCCGTTCCTGCCACCAGCTGGCGCTGGGCCGATGTTGCACCCGCACCGGTCCCGCCGAGACATAGACACCCTGAATTGGACTCAGTCCTACGCACTCACTCCCCGCTCACTCCTCGCCACTAGAAGACCCGTTCCCACCGCATCTGTAGATCTGCCTCTCCTCGTCATGCTTTCTCTGCCGCTGCCTCCTTCCCTTCAACCGTCTCTGTATACTTGTCACCGTCGCCACACTTGATCCTCAGCATTGCCCTCTCTGGGCTCCACCCCACTACCGCTCCCCCATTCACCCTCCCTCACCTGTACCCCTTCCTCTGATCCTTCATCGTTGTCTCTCTCCACACCCTCAGATGTACAGGGCTCGAGGCCACAGCGCCCTGCTGGCCCTTTCCCTGTCCATTCGTTACCCCTCTTTCGAGGCATGTCACCAATGCCGCACACACACACAGACACACACACGCACACGCCCTTCTCCTCGCCCTCTTGTTCCTCCCCTCCCCAATGACACACTGTCTGTCATTTCTCGGCATCCAAACAAAAAGCATCACTGTTTCGCCCCTTTCCTCTCGTCGTGCGTCGTTCGGCTCGTCTCATTGCTCTCACACGCCGGCGGCGAGGCAGGCGGAAAGCATCGACCTCGCATGTCCGCAGCAGCGTCTGACGGGAGATGGGCGATCGCACGCGGCATTTGGAGGGCAAAATGCTGGCATGCTGGGAGAGACGGCAGAGAGAGGCATGGTGATGGAGAGGGATGCACACGTGGATGACTCGGTCGTGGGCTGGATTGGAGAGCGAGACAATCGCACCGCCTTCTAACCGACGGTATCAGGGTGAGGGAGAGGCGGATGCAGAATAGTCCCGGCATGTGCCATGGAGTCTCGAGCAGAGGTTGCAAAACTCCTCCGGACCGATGTTGCAGTGGGGCTCGGCGATGCGCTTCGGGTTCGGCCAGCAGTTGTACAGCGCCATTACGTCGCGGGCGTACTCGGCTCCATCCACGACGGCGCAGAGCTTCTGCTTCTTGTCAGGTCCAGACGGCCTGTTGTAGAAGGTGTAGCCCGCGGCGTGGGCCGTCGAGGCGATGCAGAACATCCCGACGATGGCGGCATGGAGGAGCTTCATTGTGAGGCTTTACGACGGTCGAGGTGTGGGGCGGAGAGCGGAAGGGAGGTCAGTGAGCGTCTTTGAGAGCAGGTACGAGGACGGGAGGCCGAGCGTGCAGCGTACGGATGCGGTCACTGGATGGCAAGACGAGATCGGTGCAGAAGGATGAGGGCGACGAGGACGATGCCTGGCTCTCCGTCGACACCTTTTTATCCTCGAGCCCACCCTCGTTCCCCTTCCGCTCGCTCTCACATGTCCTCCACAATTTCACAGGACACGGGCTCGGGTGTTGGCGGCTCGACCACACAACGGAACCATCGCGGTAGGGGGGCAGCCTCCATCTGCGTATCAGTCGCCGGCAGTTGTCCGCGCCAATTCTGGGCGTCAGCAGCCGGGCAGAAGGGGTGGATGACTGCTCGGTTGCTTTGTAACTGGCGAGCTGAATGCAGAGGCGTTGTTCGGGGATGGGTAGGTTGCACGAATCTCCAAGTCTCCAATCCGTCGGACGACTGCGGAGACACACCAAGGTAGCATGGAGGGGGCAATATGTATGAATTGATGGAGGGGATGCGATAGTCCAGGGGGATTGGCTGCGACCTGTGGACCTCGGCCCAAGTGGCATTTGGTCGGGCGCTGCGTGATGGTGAGATACGGGCGCAAGGCGCGCGAGAGTGACTGGGGAACATCAGATCAGGCGGGGAATGGGGGTTTGCGAAGGGAATAAGGGCGGGCGAAGAACGGACTGCCGGCGTACGGGGGAACGGCGGCAGGGAGGGGAAAGGTGATGGAAGAGAGGAAAAGGTGGTTGACTCGGCGGCGAGATGGGTCGAAGAGCATGCCACGTCGACGAACGGGCGTTCGGAGCGCTAGGCTTGGACGCGAGGCGCTCGACGAAGACTCTCGATTCACCCACTGACGAAATTTCTTAGCCTTAAGAAGGGGGATAGTCCAGGCAATCGCTGTTGAGCTGGCGACAGATGTTGCAGAACCTCCGTTCGTCGAGGGAGCAGTGCGGCGCCTGGATGTGCTTCGGGTTGGGCCAGCAATCAAAGTTGGCGAAGACGCCCCGGCCGCGTTCGCCGCCCTGCAGGACGTTGCAGACCTTCTGCTTCCCGCTAGCGTTGGGTCTGGTGAAGAAGAGGTTGTGCCTCGCCGCATCGGCGGCGTAGGCGAGGCAGAACAGGGCTGCGATGGCGGGGAGGAGGAGTTTCATCGCGAAGCTTGACGAATTTCGGAGCGAGACCGGACCGGAGAGGTGGGTGCGGCGTAAGTCAGCGCGGTCCCGGGAGCGCGTTTGCAAAGTGGCGAAAGAAGAGGCTTACCAGCGGGCCCACTTGGCTAGGCGGCTAGTGGATTGAGATATGGTGGGGCAAGAGCAGGTAGCAGGACGAGAATCGAGCGCCCTTTTATCCCGCCCGTCGTTATGCTGTATGCTCCGCCACTCCCGCACGCTCTGCTTTGCTCGTCGAGCCAGCTTACGAGGGCGCGTTTGTCAGGGGCCTCGCTCAGTTCTGGCCGAGTACGGCAGATCGTGCGTGCCCGACGTCCGTGCTTCGGCCCGAACAATGATGCGCAGTACCGTTGTACGTCCGCATCGAGGCGAGACTCCTTGGATGTGCATTGTCTGGTTCCTGACCTCGGCCTACCCCTGGAACAACGATGCCCCGAAGACCATTGATGAATGGCATGCCATCGGCGAATCAGGACTTGGCCGAGGGCGCCTGATGGACAATGGCAGCCGGCAGTGCATTCTAACGGCAGGCGTTGGCGGCGGTGTGTACGTACTGTACCTTAATGGAGTTGTCGCAGCACGCAGTCTACACAGGAGTGAAATGTAACCTGAGGACAACGTCACGCGGAGCCTCTGGGTTTCACTGCAAAATCACGCAGACCCTCTGCATGACCTCTGCGGGGGCCCTCCGAAAGCTCGCATTGCCAGCTGCTATGGTTGCTGCTGCTGAGGACGTCGAGACCAAGCTGAAGAGGGATGCATGTCGGACAGGTGAGGTGGGTCCGTGAGACTGTAGAGGCACGAGAAGATATGGGAACGGCTGACCGATTCAGGATTTCCCTAGCGCCTCAAGGACCGTAAAGCGACAAGGGGACGGAAGAGGAGAGGCCAGATGACTGAGGTGGGGGGGCTTCATTGCGAGGTCTGGCGGCTTTGACGGCTGGATGCAGGGGTGAACGCGGCGTAAGATATGTAGGGTCCCGTAAGAGGTGTGGCGCTCTTCTGCAAGGCGGCGAACTGAGGGACGTACTGCAAGGCTTATAAGGTGGCGAGTGACGAGTGCGCTGGGTGGGGTCGAGATTGCGAGGCAAAGCATGACGGGATTCGAGCGCCCTTTTGAGCCTAACTTCGCGGATTCGCCGTCACCTCCGCATGCTTCCCTCGAGGAGCGAGCTCAAAGAACGCGGGAGAGTCACTCACGACTCAGGCCGGGCCGGTTGAGGCAAGTTGTGCGCGCCCCACTTCCGTACCTCGGCCCGTACGACATGCAGCAGCATTGTACGTCCGCATCGAGGCTGCCGGTACGCGTACAAAATCGTTAGGTCTTCCCCCAGCAGCAGCCGTGTCACGGCGACCACCCACCTTGTATGCCGTCGTTGGCGCCACAGAAGGGGGCTGTGCGGCCTTCTAGGCCGGGACCGCCCGACCGACAATAGCAAGGAGCCGGGACTTGCGATCCGTTACCGGGCGTCAGCGGCCAAGGTGGGCGCAATGGATTGGTGACCCAGTCGGCATTGCTGCGGCGTAGGATGTTGAGACCAGGCCGAGAGACAAAGAGGATGCAACGCTCAGAGAGGGACAAGGTAGGGAACAAGATTGTACGACCGCGCTTTCGACGCCAGCCTTATCGTCGGCACGCCATATCGCCCTTGTCCGGCTGAGAGCGATGGGGCAGAGGCGGGCCGATGTGGGCGATTCAAGGGGGTCAGGAGGGCGGGAGCTGAGCCATGGAAGCTTGAGCCTCATCTTGGTCTGCGAGCGGCGCCAGTGCTGCTCGGATTTGCCATGGAGAGAACGGCTTAGTAGTGTAGTTGCTCTTTCGCCGCCCACTGCTGCGGCGAGCCGGGCCGATGGAGAGGTGTGCGCTTCCGTTGTAGCCGTGCCGCGTCGATAGCGGCGAAGAGCCGCAAAGAGCAGGCACGGCCCTGGGCCCATGGCGGGATCAAGCCGGGCCTCTTGCCGGCAAAGGCGAGAGGTGTATTCGTGACGATGCGAGGCAGGAATTGACGGGGTCCACTATGGTTGCTTGCCTGGCTCTGTAGCCCGCCGCCGGGCGACGAGGCACGGTGGCTTGGACGACTTGATGATGGTGAAGCGACGGCAAGAGGCGCAAAGAGGGAGCGACGGAGGTGGGGGTGGCGCACGGTCCTCTGGTCGTCGTCAGCAGGCGGACTAATGGGGACCTCGCTGGAGAGATCAAATGGTGGCAGTAAGGCGGTGCAGCGCGGCGCGGCGCGGAGCAAAGAGGGCTGATGGGCCTGCCTGCCTGCCTGCCTGCCTGCCTGCCTGCCTGCTTGCCTGCGCCCGCACCTTCACCTCCAACGCCCACGCCAACGCCGCCTCGACACGATCGTCCCAGCTACAGGCGCCACACCGCTCCCGTGCACCCAACGGTCCCGCGCCATGTCGCCTGCCGTCACTGCTACCAACACGCCGCACCAGCCCTCGAAAGACGAGATCAAGGCCGACGATGCAATGTGAGCCCAGCGTCTCTCCACCCGCCTCGGCCTCCCGAGCCCATTGTCTCCCCTGACCCGCGCACGAGGCTGACACCCGCTCCCTGTCAACCGCGTCTGGCACGCAACCTTGCCCGCAGCCTCGACATCGAGCCGGTGCAGCACCACCGCAGGGCGACGCAGTACACGACCCGGGCCGTCTTCGATATGATCCAGACCGGCGCCATTGCCGACGTTGCGCCCGACCCGCGTCGAGGGCCACGCTGGTCGGCGCGCCAGCAGTCCGGCTTCCTCGACTCGATCCTGCGGCGTTGCTATGTCCCGCCCCTCCTCTTTTCCGTCTTTAGCAACAGCGGCGTCGATACCCTCTACTGCATCGACGGCAAGCAGAGGCTGACGACGCTCCACGACTTCATGGCCAACAAGCTGGCGTTCCAAGGCGCGCACCTCGCCCCCCCCTCACCGACCCGACTCGGCCCGGTTCCGGCCGCAGAGCTTGAGCCTGACGACGGCGTGGTCCTTCCCCCTCCACCCGTCGACGCGACAGAGCCCGAGACGGACCGCAAATTCTGGTTCAAGGAGAGCATCAGGGACGGCAAGACGCCCGCACTCTCGCAGCTGCAGCGCGAACGGTTCGAAGCGTGAGAGTCGACTCTACTCTTGGTCGCCACCTCTCGCCTCTGCCTTGGGTTCTTCGCAGCTGATCGCGCAGGCCATGCATCCCCCTCTCCGCCTCCGCTACGACCGCAAGGGAGCCTCTTATCTGCGTCGAGCAGAGCGGGCTCACGCCAGACGACGAGCAAGACCTCTACTGGCGCGTCCAGCGCGGCCTTGTCCCCAACGCCGCGGAAAAGCTCTCCGAACACCTGGGACCGTGGCCCGACTTTATCCGCCAGCTCGCCGCGCACTACGTCAAGGCGGGTCTTCAGGTCGACGCCAGAGGCCAGCGGCTCATCGACGTCTCGGAGGGCAACGACTTCCTGTTTGCGGCCCAGGTGGCGCTGGTCATCCTCCACGCGCAGGTCCGGGCGTCGTCCGTATCGGTGTCCTCGACCTCTCCTCTGCTGGCTAGCGCGGGCCTCACGCCCACCTCGCTGCGCCTGCTCCAGGACCCCAACTTCCTGCCCGTCGCACCGGCGATTGCGGATTTCTTCAAGGCCAACCTCGGTGTGGCGCCCGGTCCGGGTGTGGGGCCGAAGATCAAGGCCACGTTCGAGACGTACGTCGCGCTGGCCAAGGATCGCGTCTACGGCGGCTGCCTCGCGCCGAGCAGCAACCCGCGAGAGCTCAACAGGCAGCGTCCTCTGGGTGGGTAGAGCAACGTCCATCGAGCCTGAGCCCCGAACCCTCGGGGGAGGGGACGTGTGCGCTGACATGTTCCCCGCCGCTGCTGCTCGACGCGCTCACCCGCCCGCAGCGCCCATCGAGCTGGTCCACGTCGGCCTGCTCATCTCCTACTTTCCCAAGGCCGAGGTATCGCAGCTTTACCAAGCCGTCAAGCAGATGACGGCCCCGAACCGTCCGAGGCCGCCCGCGTCGGACGCGCTCAGGCTCGGCTTCACCTCGACAGCCGCCGCGGATCTGAGAAACTTTGTCACGAACCTCAAGCTACCCAACCCGATCAACCCGCGGACCGAGCCCGATCGACGGCGCCAGCATGACGATTCGGGCTCGAGCAGGGAGAGGAACCCTTACGGCGCGGCGTGGTCCGGTAGCGCGAGCCCGAGCACACGCCAGAGGCCGTACGAGGGCGGCAGCCCCTACTATTGGCGACGAGGCTAGTCCGGTCCGGCCGCGGTTCGCTTGGCTCGCCTCCGCGCCGTCGGCGGACGATGACATCGACTCTGTTCCACGCAGGCAAAAGGATCCATTGCTATCAGACTCGATGTTCCCGCGGCTGCAGCTGTTGCAACCGATACCACTGCTGTTGCATGCAAAGCATCGCGCCCCTGTTTGCAGCTGCCTGCCTGCCTGCCTGCCTGGCGGCCTCAGATGGACTTGAAGGCGGCGAGGGCGGTGGTGACGCGGCCCTGCGCGTCGATAAAGGTGTTGTCCTCGCAGCTCGAGCCGAGGTTGGCGTTGCTCTTCCAGAAGGGCTCCCAGTAGAAGAGTCCGTCGGCGCCGGCCTGTTGGGCCGTTTTTGCGACAGTCTGGATCCACTGGGCCTGACCGGCGGTGGTGAAGGGGATGTTTTTGGTGTCCGAGGGGAAGGGGTACTTTGGGCTGGAGCACTTGGAGGGCCAGTCGGTCTCGACGACCATGACCTCCTTGGCGTACTTTGACTTTAGGGTGCGGATGCCCGATGCGAGGTTGGCCAGGGTGGCGCGCGAGTCGTAAAAGGGGTAGTAGGAGACGCCCTGGATGTCGTAGTCGGTGGCGAGGAGCGAGTTGGCCTTGAGCACCTTTTCGTACCACTTCGTCTGGAGGCTGGCGTCCCAGCCGTTGTCGATGTGGATCATGATCTTGGGGCGGCGCGGCAGCTTGGCGTCCCTGACGCCCGCCGAGGCCGAGTGGAGCAGGCGGGCCGTGTTCCAGGCGACGTCGTTTGTGCTCGGGTCGAGGGCGCCGACGGGGGCCAGGAGGCCGTTGCGGATCTCGTTGCCGATGGATACCATCTCGACGTCGATGCCGGCGCTCTTGAACGCCTGCATGCTCTGCAGCGTGTACTGGTAGAGGGTGTTTGAGAGGTCGTCGATGCCCTGCCCCTTCCACTTGGCGGGTGGCACCTGGTGCGCCGGGTCGGCCCATGTGTCGCTGTAGTGGAAGTCGAGGTAGACCTTGAGGCCGGCCTTTTGGGCTCGGCGGGCGAGGGCGACGTTGTAGTCGAGGCCGTATACGCCGCCCGAGGGGTTGACCCAGATGCGCTGGCGCACCGTGTTGACGCCATTCTGCGCCATGATGGTCTCGAGCGCGGCGGGGCTGCCCGACGAGGTGTACCACTTTGTCCCCTGCGACTCGAGGAGGGACGTCGAGGACCAGTCGACGCCCTTGTAGGTGAGCGCGGCCGCGGCGGCGCTGACAAAGAGGGGCAGGAGGTAGAGGTGGCGCAGCATCGTCGGCGGGTCGGTCAGAGGAGAGGGTGAGACTGGCGGATGGTGAGGGGTCGAGCTGGCATGGCACCTGTTCCAAGAGCGCTTATATGGGCGGCGAAGGCCAGGTCAGGCGAGGCGCGGCGCCGAGGCAAAGTCTCTCGTCGTTACCCCTTTGGCCAGTGGAGCCCGCGGCATCTGCGCGCCGGTGCGCTGGTGCGAGGGGCGGCATGGAAGACGTCGTTCCGAGCGGCAATTAATGGTTGCAGTGCGGACGTGGTGGGACGGCGATCTGTTGAGCCATGGATGCAGCAGGGATGGGGAGGGGCGTGCGTGGTATACGGACGCGGTGTCGCGACCGGCAATCTTGGCGTGGAATCGTTGAAGCGGGTCCTAGCCTAGTGGGACGCACGGGGCGCTTGGTGCGGCGATATGCAGGCCAGGTGGTCGGCTGCTGCGCTTGGTTGGTTGGTTGGTTTCGGCTGGTATCGACGTCGAGGGCATGAGGCTGCAGCTCGCTTGCTTGGCTCAGTGTAGTCGATGGTGCGGCAATCTGTCTATGGCGGCGAGTCGGAGGTAGGCCTAGGGCTGCAACGGCGTGGCTCGGCAAGAGAGTGACAGGACCGAGGTTGTCATGGCCGTGGCGAGGATGATGAGCTGGAGCAAGCAGCGGTCCGGTAAGTGGTCGGTGGGCCATCTTGGGGCGGTGGTGGTGTCGGTGGTGGTGGTGGTGGTGTCGGTGGCAGGCCAGGCAATCTTGAATGCTATCCGGACTGCGCACTGAGCGGGGGCCCAGGCACGTCAGGAGGATGCGGTCCGACGTACGGCTCCGCTGCTGACCGTTGCAGCGGGGGCAGTGCAGTCAGATGCGAATCAGAAGCAGATGCGGGCAGCCCACCAGCTAGCCAAAGCAAAGTTGGCGGGCCACGCGGCAAATGATGGATTTATTCGATTATTATGCCCACCCCTTCAACACGGGCCAGGCTGACAACCACCACCATCCACCTTCCATCTTCCATCTTCCATCTTCCACCTTCCACCTTCCACCTTCCACCATCCACCCCTCGCAGGTGCCTTGCTCGCTCGCTTGGCCCCCCCGGCCCTCGCCCCTCATGCCGACTGCGACTGCAAACCCCTCGGGCTAGGGCTAGGTAGACCACAGCTCCCCCGCTTCCCCACTCGCACCCTCTGCATCTTCCACCCTTGATCCGATGCTCAGCCCACCTCGTCCCCCACCCGTCCAAGAGCATCATGGCGACCGCACCGCAAACACCCTCGTCAGCCAGCACGGCGACCGCCACCCGCTCGGCGACCCAGACGACCGCCGCGACGACAGGGACAGGGACAGGGACGGGGACGACGACGACGACGACGACGACGGCCAGGCCACCATAGCACCCACCACCACCACCTCAAGCCAAAACCATGCCACGCATCGCCCGCTCCCCCTCGCCCGCTGCGTCACCTACCTCAAGGCCATCGCTCCCCCCGTCCTCACCGCCCTCGCTCTCGGCCCCTTTGTCCTCGTACCCGCCATCGCTCGCCGCATCGGCCCCTACGCCTTCCTCGCCTACGTCTTCTACATCCTCTTCTTCTTCCCCGCACCCGCCACCGTCGGCAGGTTCTTTGAGACGGCCCTCCTCAGCCTCGTCGCCGCCGCCATCTCGCTCGCCATCTCCCTCCTCGCCGTCAGCGGCGCAGTCTGGATCGACGGCGCCGGTCAGCCCTACTACTCCTCGGTCCAGTCCCGCGCCCTAGGCGTGTGCACCCTCGTCCTCCTCGCCTTCCTCTCGGCCACCCTCAGCAGCGCCGTGCCCCGCCTCAAGGCCCCCTCGCGCTGCGCCCTCTTTGCCGCCGTCTGGGCAATCACCTCGGGCTACACCCACATCACCGCGGCCATCTTCACCGACCTCTTCTACCCCATCCTACTCGCCGCCGTCCTCGGCCTCCTCGGCAACCTCCTCATCTTTCCTCGCACCGCCCGCGCAACCTACCTCCGCCTCGTCACGGAAACCCTCGACGTCGTATGCGACGTACTCGAGCGCGCCGTCGACGACTTCTTCCGAGCCCCGCCGCCGGACTTCGATACCCACTTCCGCCCCCCGCACCACGACCGCCCGGGAGTCGCATCGGCACGGCTGCAGGCCCTACGCAGCAAGCTCATCGGCCTCGGTGGCCGCCTCGAGCCCACCTTCCAGGCGGCAGAGAACGAATGGAGCATCGGCCGCGTCCCCACGGCCAAGTTCAAGGCATACATCCACCTCCTCCGCTCCACGCGCTCCTGGATCGCCTGCGGCATGGGTCTCAAGGGCGCCCACGAGGCCTTTGATGGTGTAGAGACGCCCGGCTATGGCGAAAGAGACGCGCACGAGCTCGCCCAAGGCACGGTCCGAGGCAGGCCCGACACTCGCTCCGCCGACGCCAGCCGCACACGGCGTTCCTCAACCGAAAGCCTCAGCTGCAGCGTCGAGTTCCGCCAGTTTGAGCCGGCCGTGCGAGGACTCTGCCGCGAGATTGTCGCCTCCCTCCGCATGGTCAAGCTCAGCATCGAGATGAGCACCGGCCGGCTCAGCCCGGCCAAGCTTGCCACGGTCGCCCTGCAGCGCAACGGCGAAACACACGAAAAGCCCATCCGTCACCACCACTCGGATTCACACCACGTCCCCGCGGCCATCCTAGCGGCTGCCATGGTGGCCACAGCACAGACCTCAGACGTGCCCATGACCCCGGCCGAAGTGCTGTCCAAGCAGAGGCAGCATCTCCGCCACGCCATCGCAGCGTTCAAGGGCTCCCTCAGAGAGGCCCTGAGAAGCGTAAGAAGGACTAGCAGCGGCACGAGGTCAGCCAGCTCCGACAGGCACCGGCAGTCACGGGCGCGCGCGGCCGCACGGGAAAGCTACTTCGAAGGCGCAGCGCTGCCGCATCAGCCCGACGTGCAATGGGCACAGCGAGGGTCGACGACTGCCCCAGACGACGGGGCCACTCGCGGCGGCCCGCGTCCGACCGAGGAAGAGAACGAGGACGGCGAAGGCCAGGCCCCGGGCGGTGACTTTGCATCCCTCTTTCGGAGCGAACTTTATGCGGTCTCGTTCCTCATGGTCTCTCTGCTCGAGGTCGCGCTGCTGGCCGAAGCCTCCCTCCGCGTCGGACAGAGCATCCTGCGATCCTGGCGGAGTCACCCGCGCAGGCGCGTCTGGCTGCCCGACGTGACCTGGAAGACGTGGCTCAAGCACAGCGGCGACGTGCGCTCGGCCGAGACGTACAGCGAATCGCCCGACCTGCTCGACGACGACGATCACTACGATGCAGAGGGCACCGACGGCGACCTGCGCGCCATGGCGGGCTCGGCCTACTTTGATCGCGACAGCGACAGCGAGATCTGCAAGAACCTCGCCTCTGGCGGCGACGAGAAGAACGAGGCCAAGGCCGTCGGCTTCCGTCGACCCTTGCAGGCCATCCGCATCCTCGCCCGGCGCCTGACGCGGAGCATGGCGGTCCTCAAGTTCCGCGTGCGCCTCTCGCGTTCCATCCGGCGCTTCCGGCACTCGCACCACATCAAGTTCGGCATCAAGCTCGCCCTCGGTGTGGCGCTGTTGAGTCTGCCGGCCTGGCTCGCTCGCGGACCCGCTCGAACCTGGTGGTACGAGCGCCGCGGCCAATGGGCGGTCATCTCCTATCTCTACGTCCTCGAGTCGTCGACCGGCGCCAGCTTTCGCGTGTCGCTATTCCGCATCATCGGCACCGTGAGCGGCAGCTTGCTGGGCCTCTGCATCTCCGAGGTCAGCCACAACAACCGGTACGCCCTCGGGTTCCTGCTCGCGCTGGCCGTCGTCCCGGCCTCGCACTTTATGCTCTTCACCCGCGCCGAGGGGATTGGCATCGTCTTGGGCCTCACGGCGCCGATCATCGCGCTGATCCCGACGCTCGACCTCGAATCGTCAGGCTCCGAGACGGCCGTCGAGTTGGCGTGGAACCGCGGCTACATGATCTTCATCGGCATTGTTGCCGCCCTGATCGTCAACATTGTCATCTGGCCGCTGCACGCTCGCGTCGAGCTGGTCCGCCAGATCAGTCGCTCGACGGTTCTGCTGCAGTCTCTCTACCTCAGCCTGGCCCGCCAGATGCTGACGGGCGGGTTCGTCGCTTCGGCCGAGTCGACGGCGGCGTTTGAGCGGCTCGAGAACAGCGTCGAGCGCAAGATTGCAAAGGCGCGCGGGCTGGTCTCGATGATGGAGGCCGAGGTCAGCCTGATCCCCAAGCGGACCGACGTGCTGTCCGAGATCCTCAACCAGCTTCTGACGATCGCCGAGCTGCTGCGCGGCCTGCGGAGGTGCCGCGAGCATGGGCTGCGCTCGATCCGCCGCGAGGCGGTCGTCAACGTGCTGGAGCTGCGTCAGAATGTCATCGCCTCGGTCCTTATCGTCCTCTGGTCGACGGGCCAGGCGCTGCTCAGCCACGCGCCGCTGCCACAGTTCCTGCCATCTCCCCGGCTGGCGCTTGCGGAGCTGACTGAGGCGGTCGCAGAGCAGCTGAGCGGCCAACGCTCGGACCCCACCACGCCGATGGACATGGGCGAGCGGATGCCGGACGCCTACCACGCGCTGTCGAGCCTGGCCGATCGCCTGGCACAGCAGGACCAGTCCCGACGAGGTCGCGGCTACCGGCGATCGGCGCTGCACTCGTTGCAGACGTCCACACCTACGCCCGTCCGGGGCGGATCGACGACGCCGACGCACGCGCACACGCCGACGACGCCCTACGACCGGCCGGGCGACCGCCGCAGCATGCTGCTCGACTACGCCTCGTTCTTCATCCTGGCCGAGCATGCGCTGCTGTCGGACATTGTCGCGGCGCTCGAGTCGCTGATGGAGCTGACGCGTAAGCTGGTCGGCGAGGCGAGCTTCCTTCAGACCCACTTCGTACCCAAGGGCGAGGGCGGGGACGCGGGTCCGGATGCGGCCGGGACGCCGATGGGCCACGGGGCTGCTGCGGGAACGCCGAGGGGCGCGAGCAAGACGGCGACGGATAGTTTTGACCATGCGGCGTCGAGCTCGTTGGTCCGAGCGCTCAAGATGCAGATGGAGCTGGATCGGAAAGCGGCCGTGCGCGCCTCAATCGATGCCGAGTCGGTCGAGCCACGCGAAAGCGGCGGCGGCAGCAGCAGCAGCGGCAGCAGCGGCAACAACGGCAACAACGGTAACAACGGCGGCAACCGCGCGCGTGCGCAGGACCCTGCATCGGACCTGGCTTCCCGACGAGGTCTGGCGAGCAGCATCGGCGCCGGCAACGACAGCGGCAGCGGTGGGCCAAGCCATGTCCGGATCGAGGGGGACCCGGCCGCCTTTCGACAGCGGAACCGCACGCCGCTCTCGCCGCTGCGTTTCGGGCATGCACATGAGACGATGCGCGGCCAAGGCCACGGACAGACCGAGGCATCGAGCAGAGCTTCTCTAGACGATACGACGACAGATACTGAGCGGGCGGTACCGGCAACGCCACCGCCACCGCCACCCGCGCTGTAGGACCAGACCACACGGGCTCGAACCGACACGGCGGCAACGATGCTCTCCCCTGTACACTACGTTTCCTCTAATGACCTCGAAAAGGAGTTCGCGATCACGGCCATGGGCTCGGCGAAGCGACACGTCGAGAGCGATACAAGAGGCAGGGCCGAGGAAAGGGACGACGGCTGGTTGGGGGACTACCGTGTGGGCACGAGTCCGGGGCCTCACTTGCTAGGAGGTCGGGCAGGGATGACGTTGTCACAGGTGAGGTTGTGGCCGCCGCCGAGGCCGGGGCAGGCCTGGCAGAGGCTCTCGGGCCTAGCGTTGCAGAGGCCGGTGTTGATGTCGCAGCGGAGGGCCCGGAGGGTCTGCTGCTGGCTTGCCGAGAGCTTGGTGACGTCTGGCACGGTGCAGGCGGTGGCGCGCGGAGCCTGGGAGACAAATGTGCGCTGGTTGGCCGGGGGGTGCGTGGCGATGACGCCGGCGTTGGACGGGGCTGCGACGAGGCCGAGGAGGAGCAGGATGGCGGGCAGGATGGCCTTCATTCTCGTATCGCTGGCGCTGTGTCGAAGAGCGGGGAGGGTAGCGGAGGAGGGTGGGGCGTTGGTGCCTCGGTCTTGGCCGGAGAGGAAGAAGGATACAGGGTGAGCTCACCTGTGTGAGTAGAGCGGTTGATTGACTTTGGTGCGGCTGTTGAGGACAGCGAGGGGGGGGGGGGGGGGGGCAGAAGTGGACGCGACGGAGGTGGCTACCGAGATGGCGAGGTGGGGGACACGGGGCCGGAGGTTGGGTGGTACCCTGTCCTGGCCCCCTTTTATCCTTTTTCCGTCGCTACGGAAGCTACGACGAACCTTCCCGCTGTCTCTTCCAAACACACCAAAGAAGGCCCGGCGCAATCAAGCCACCTAACCTACACACCGTTAGGCTATGGAGGGATCGAGGACGCTAAGCTCGGGCGCCGATCGGTGCCGTACGTACCGTCAAGTTATGCTGCGACAGGACGGCATGCGTTACGTAGACACGTACGGCGGGGGGAGAAAAAAAAATCGGGGGCCTGGACGTAATGGGACCCCCTGAATAACCTTTGTTCAGGTCAACTGCAGCCTTCCTTGCTCCGGCCGACGTGGTGTCCGATGGCGTACAGATGCACCGTCGTGAGAGGAGGCTCGACACGAGGCGCGATATACGTAGGCGTCATGTTTTCAAACGCCTTCGCAGTCGAAACATTGCCGTCATGGCATCTGCTCGTCACTGGCACGTAGCTTCGAGCTTTCCAGTTCGAGCTGAACGAAGGGGGACCGATGTCGATCCCAGCGATGGGCACACCGGTAGGGCGGCCGGATGAGATCGCAGTCGGCTCCCTCGGCGAAGGGGTCCGGGTCTGCCGTACATCGAGTCCGGACGGCTGCACGCCACACCTGTTCTCGCCTGCAGCCAGGACATTAGGCTGGCCGATGCAGCCGGGCGGCCCGGCCGACGCGGAATCGCTGAAAGGGCGAGGATCGCTCCTGTTCGCCCCTGCTCTACATGGGCTCGAGCGTCAGGCCACTTTCACGGCAACCTCGAAAAGGGCCGGGCCCGCCCACCAGTGCACAAGGGCAGACCGATGCGTCTACCCTCACCCCTCCTCCGGGTCGTGCCGGCCACCGGCTCGTGATTCGCTCAGAGGGCCGCCTCACCCTCCGTGGCCATACTCGAGGCACGAGCGCGCGCTCTGCAGCCCGGACAGAAGACGAGGAGGTAGCCCGCTGCTATCCGCACCGCTCGCGAGGCCTATCGTAGATCACCTTGGCTCGTGGGGCCATCGAGCTCATATAGGAAGGACCACTCGCGCGGGGCAGAAGATGCGGATGGCCCCAGAAACAGCACACGACGCTGCTGCGCTCCGTGGAGGCGCGGATGCTGTCACGGCGCGCTAATCGGGCGCACACAGGCAGAACAGGTCTGCCGCTGCCCGACCTGACGGCAACACCTTTAGCCGCGGGCGGAAGGTATGAAGGACAGCGGGCCGTGGTCGGCCAAATGGTGTGGGAACCAATCCGAGCAGGGTGGCTGCTCGAGGAACGACGCCGCACTCGAGCGCGTCCTCTGTAGGTGTCAGCACGATGGTGGGCTTCACGGCGACCTCAAGCATGTATCCCGTTCCGCCGCATGTGTTGGGGGATGTGGCGCTGGTACGCACCCCTTCGGGCCACCGTTCAGCCTTCTGTCGCCGCGAGCGCGCATTTCCAGCCTTGTGCGCGGAGGCCGAGCATATCGGAGCGGTCGCTACGCCGACGCGCCCTAAGAGGTGTATCCGGGCTCGGCGACACGCGCGCTCGTGAACCTTTCTCGGCGCCGCCGCACGTGGCGGCATGGTATCGCCCGTTCCGAGCAAGGGCTATTGCGAACGCCGGTCACAAGGCGATCGACAAGAGGGCGGAAGTCGCGGCCGGCAACGCGGGAGGGTCGGGTCGGCGCTGTCCGACAGAACCGCTTCGCATTCGGGCCAGCCTAGCATGCGACCACGCTATCCTTACACCGCCTCCTACCGGGGCACGGCGTGCGATCTCTGTGCCTTGAATGGACGCGACAGACGGCTTCAAGTGGGGTCGCACCGGCCACGGCGGCAAGAGATGGTACCAAATGGGATCGGGCCGCGGATGTGACCTCAGGATCGGTGGATCCGGAGAGGCACTAATGACTCCTTAGCGCACCTTCAATGTCTGGATTCGGAAAGTGCCTTTTCGCTGCCGTGCGAGAACAGAAAGCCGGAGTGAGACCGTGTGGGACCGAAGCGCTGCTCGCCGCGATCGAGACAAGCGGAGGGGCCAGACGGGAGAAGACCAACGGTCGTCGGTTCAGCACGTCGCATGCATCGGCGTGGGCAAGTTGGTGCTGAGGTCGGACGAGAATCCCGGCGCTGCTGAGACGCAAGAGAACATGGATGACTGTGCAGGGGCACGACGCGCTCTCGCCATGCCAACTAGATACATTGCAGCTCGTTTTGCGCTGCTCTCGAGTGGACTCGCGCCGTTACCATCGGAGTGGTGGGGGCGACCGCTGCGGGGAGCGTCTCTGAGCATCGTGATCCGCAGCGTAGAGTTCAGGCCCCACACCCCCGCTTCGGCACGCTTCCCTATTTTTCATTTACCCCCCACCAGCGGACCGATGAGGATGCTGCAAACATCGGCCTGCGCCTATCTAGACGGCGGGCACGTTTGCTACGTACACTTCACACGTGCCCGAAAGGCTCAGAGGCCGAGCGGGGAGCGCCTTCCGGAAAACACGCCGGCCTATCTTGCCCAAACTGTACGTCAACATCAGCGACGCCATCCTCCTTCGAGACAGCCCACCATCTCTATCTCTTGTTGGAGCACTCCGTCTTGGTAGACGCTCGCGCAGCCGCCGATCTGAGAGCGCAGCTGTGAGAGGCCTGGACCCCCTGAATCAACACAGCATTGAGCTGCACGAGGAAACCGGCTCCCCCGAGCCGCGGGTGTACGACTCGGCCATCTGTGGTCAGGGCCTGGCCAGGTGGACGGCGTGCACTGCGGAGAGCATCGGCAGTCTCTGAACTTGTCCAGCTGCTTGCCGCATTTCTCCTCGAGATCGAAAAGCCCGCGGACCAAAAGCCATCCGGCGCAAGACAGCTGGCCCATCTACCTTCCTGGCACTTCCATCGACGTGGCTCGCTCGGAACATTACTTCCAAGCGAGTTGGTCGCACGTAAGTTGCCTGCCTCGCCCAGCTCACGGCAAAGAAGCGGAGACGCCTGTACTAGCATTGCAGAGAGGCTTCGGCGCCGAGGTAGGATAAAAGGAGGAGGGCAAAGGGGAACTTCTCGGCCTCACACTCACCCCTCGACTCTTCTACATCGCAAAACCCCTTCCTCGGTGCCTGCCGTCTCGCTCAAGAAAGTCCGACCAAGCTCCAGAACACGCAGGTGAGACGATTCTTGCCCTGTTCTGTTGAACGAAGGCAGCACCGGGACGCCTGCTCTGACGCGTCACCCGTACGTCTTGCGCACTGTTGTCGTTGCCAGGAAACCATGAAGGCCGTTCACACTTCCGTCCTTGTCGTCTTCGCTCAAGCTCTGTTCTTGACGGCCAGGGCGGTCGTGTTCCATGGAAAAGGTCCCCTGATCCCGTTCGACGTCTTCTGCTCTTTCGATCCTAACCAAGTCGTGGACGCGCGCTCATTCAGCCAAGCCCTGCACTGCGATGCGAACAACGAATGCGACCGAACCGACGGGAAAACGTTCTGCGCGACCTGCGACTTCTACCATGGCGGAATCAGCGCCAGCTGCAAGCTGTACTAGACGGCATTAAGGAGGGCAAGCGAGACATATTCGACGAGGCGCCATGCTGCGTTCGGCGGCGTCCCGCGAAGTACAAGAACTTCGTCATCGACGGCGTGCGCAAGCATCTCCGTGTCCGTTATTGTCCTGTCGAGAGACTTTCAATGCCCAGTTGCATATGCTTCCGCCCTAGTGGACGGCACGCTTTCGCACTCGCGGTTGCCTTATCACACCGGGTCGACCGGCTCATCCTTGAGTGCGACTAGGTGAGGCTGCCTATCACCGTGCTTTTCAGCGGTCCGCGGCCAACTCGTCTGCTCGTCCGAGCACGGATGGGGGTGTTCGCTCAGGTCCATCTGAATGCAGTCTATGCCATGCTACGCCGTACGATCGAGCATTCACGGAACGGTCGCCTTCGAAGGACAACCCTCGTGCACGAGTTACTCCGCAGAGATGCGAGGAAGACGTCCGCAGAGCATCGCTCGTCGTGCGTCGCGTGTCGCAAGAGCAGATGAACAAGCATATCCAGCAGCTTCACGGTCTAAGCACCCGCCCCACATGGCAAACCCGTCCATTCCCGTCCGCACAGTCTTCGAGGGGGCCACACCTTTGCTCTGCCGGCAACACGCGGCTCTGCCAAGGATGGTCGATGATTGCAAATTGTCCAAACTACGGTCTGGTCCACTCGTGTTGCTCGTGCGTGGCAAAGGCTGGCCAAGTCGGGCAGGCGAGGCCCCAATCAATGCCGCCAAACTGAGCCTCCCAGCAACGCCTGACATCGACCTGCAAGATCACGGGACGCACCAGTCGCTGGGTGTGCCCTTGAACATGGTGCACATTTTGCAAAACGTGCCCATGTCCATCTTGCACGCTGAAGGAGATCCCGGATTGCAGCCTTGGCTTTGGTAGAAGAGCAGCGTCGCATGAGACAGGTCATCGTAATAGCACTCGGCAGTTGGCTTGCAGCGAAAGTAGGGGTCCTTCGCAGGGACGCAGTTCGGCTGGACCTTGGCGGTGATGAACCGCGCGGATTGCGCGACGGTGCGAGGCTGGATGACTGGCTTGTGCGCGTCCCACGGATCGGTCGGGGCGGCGGCTACAGCAGCGACAGCCAGAGCAGTGGCGATGCTGGTAAGGCGGAAGAGGTTCATTGCGGAGGTGCTGTTGAGCGGGCCTTTGACACGTTTGGGCTGTCTATCATTCCGAGTCGGGCGAGAGTTCAACGACTAGTCAGAGGAGAGAGAGGCTACCACGCGGGAGGCTCGGATCATGCGAGCTGCTGCTTACTGGAGCTTGCTTGGCAAGGAGGATGTGGGGTGCTGGCCAGACGGACGCTCAGGCAGGTAACGCAAGCTTTTATACACATCTGGGCCTGTGGCGAGCTCGCTGTTTGGGGTGCCTTAGCCAGCGACGGCAATTGTACCCGTCGACCTGCCCCACCTTCAGCCCTCTCTCGTTTCGAGGTGGGTCGACATTACGGGCAAGTCAAAGGATGTGGCAGTGTCGCGGCCCGGTGTGCAAGAACGGACCCATGATGAAGCTGAAGCTGTAGTACGTGCCAACGGTAAGCTGATCCGGATGAGCTCGGGGCGCGGATGCCCCTCCGCCGTGCTCTCCTGACTTGCAAAATCAGGCGCCACCTTTCCTTTTCGGTAGTGCAGTCCGGACCCACCATCGGGACCTCACCGCACAGGTACAAGACGACTCGCCGCCGTGAAGGCAGCTCGGTATCGTGATTCCGACACTGTGGCGAGCGGAAGTGTCGCTGTGACGCCCCCTCGGTGCCAGGACGATGTAATCGGCTGCGGATCAGCCTTCGCGGGAGAAGACAGGCCTCGGCGTGATACGGAGTGAGCGGTTGCATCGCCGTGTCGAGGTCGAGCCCGCGGGAGAACAGAGGGTCAGAGCGTGGGTGCTGTGACGCTGCCTTTTGTCGTGCAGAGTCAGGCGGTGGGTCGAGCGCCGACCCACCTCCGATGTGGGGACGATGGGTCCAGCGTATCAGCGAGGAGCGATGCTTGCAAGCCACTGCGGACGCTCGTTGCGGCGCCCCACTGCTTTTGCCCCACAGCGAAGAGGGCGACCAAAAGGGTACATAAGAGCACGTTGCACGTTCCAGACAGAGGCCCCGACCAGAGGCCCACAATCTCAAGACCCCCAACAGCTCCCTCACAGCTGAAGCTCCAAGGTGAGTGCAGCGCGAGCCTTGGTCCAAGATACATACATTCGCCACGCCATGCGCAGGTCGAGCTACTCGGGCAGATTGCAACCTGACACCCCGAGCGTGTTTGCTCCCCTTTTCGAAGCCATCGAAGATGAAGCACTTCTCGTCCCTCGCTGCCATCCTTGCCCTCGTTGCCGGTGCCATGTCTGCACCGGCCAACAGCGGCCCCCCTAAACAGCACAAGCCGAAACCCGACCTGACCTACTTCGCGAACGACGGCAGCAGCTGCCTTTTCGACGCCATGAGCCGCGCTCAAGAGCTCTGCCTGGCGCAGAAGCTCAGCTGCCATCCCTCGGACTGCGATACGCTGGAGCCTGATGTCCTGCGCTATTACTGCGACCTTTGGGAAGGCTTTCCCTTCAATGCTCCCGTCTTCGTCGATCCGAACTTCCCCGGGATCACGATCACCCCGGCCAAAGGACCGCAGTGGAAGAAGGACGCTTGCAGCAAAGTGTAGGCTTGACAAGCTCGATGTCGTCTCGACATTTTGTCAGCTAGCAACCCCCAGCGCCTATGCTGTCCTTATCTACGTGCGCGGTATGCTTCGCTTTTTCTCGCGAGCGTGAACGAGAACCTTACGTCACGTCCAGGGCCGATTTGATTTCAACTCGCCGCAAGTGCGGCCAAGTAGCGCTGGCGGATGACGGCTTGTCGATGAACGTCAGGACGCTGCGCTCTCGCAAGATGGCCTTGCGAGCGTGGACTCGTCTGCAGCTGGTCGCCGTGAGCGCTCGATCGCCTCGGAATATGATTTGAAAGAGATGGTGATAGAGCTGAGATACATGAGCGGGTATGGCCGCGCTAAGACGGAGCGCACTCGCCACCGGGGACCCCTCGGGCCTGGCTACACATCTTGCAAAACGTGTCGACGTCGATGTCGCACGAGGCAGGTGCCGGCTTGCAATGATTCTTCTGGAAGAAGATGTCCGTCGCCCAGCTGAGTGCCGCGAAGCCGCACGTTGCGGCCGGAAGGCACTTCTTGTCGTTCCAGTTGCCGCCGAAGACCAAGCACTGCGGGATCGTTTGGGCGGTCTGAAAGTTCACGACTGTCTTGGGCGTGTGAGGCTGGACCACGGGGGTGTGAGGCTGGACGACGGGCGTGTGTTCGTCCAAAGCCGCGTCTGCGGGCGCCGCCATGGCTGCCGAAGCCAGGACGACGGCAACGCCAGTGAGCCAGACCTTCATTTTGTGTTCTTCGAGCGCGGGTTCTGACGCGCTGCGAGGAGGCGAGAGAAAGTCGGATAGTGGTTTCAGCACAAGGCAAGAGAGCTGCGGCGTGCCACGGACACTTACGCTGGTCTGTTGATATGGCGGATAGGAGGTGTCGTTGAAAGAACGCTGAGGGAATGCTGAGTTCGAGGCATTGGACAAGACTTTATACCCTGTCGTCGCCTCTTGACTCTATCCCAGCCAAGCGATGAGCTGAGGCCGGCCGTGGCTCTTCCAGCGGTCATCAGCCTTGCACATCGATCGCTGCAATTGTTACGTGTCGTGGCGAATGTCGCGCATGCGTTGGCGCTCGGGCCGAGGCGACATGCAACAAGCCGCTGCACCACCTCGAGGCAGGCCCACCGACACTGGGAGAGTCACCCGTGCTCCGGGGCTCGGCGCTCAAGTGTCGGTTTGATGCTTGCACACCAATGCACTTTACCGACGCCTTGGCGCAGAGCTCATACTTATGTATCTGTCTCCATGCGTTGCCTGAGCGGTAACCACGTCTTTTCGTCCACGGGTTCAGACATCGAGGTACGCATCGTCCGACATGCTCAACGGCCCACTCACAAACAACAAGGCAAACTGTATTCGCCCCCTCGAACCAGACGCGGCCCGGTCGATGCAGGAGCGCGGAGAGTGGGGCTTCGATTGGATCAAGCTTCAGGCGAACCCCCTCGGCGACACCGGACCCGTTTACGTACATAAAGGGGACCCAACGGGCCGAGGCAGCCGTGTGGGTGACGCGATCGGCACTGTCACTGGGGCCAATACCTTTGCTGGGGCGCCGAAGCAGGTGTCGAAGGATACAATATCAAGGCGGAAGGGGTCATCACCGCCCCTAGGCCCTCCCCCCATCCTCCATTAGCCCCCTCCCACTGTCCAGAAACAAAAGTACAAAGCTGAGCGGTCGGCGGCTCGCACTGCGTCTCTTGAGCAAGCTCTCTGACAGATCGACCTCCATACATACCTGCTTTGGCGTAAAGCGCAGCCAAGCCAAGCCAAGCCAAGGCAAGCCCAGACCAAAAGCGACACGCCATCCCTCTCGCTACCATGAGGATCTTGAGCCTCGTCTCGCTCTCCCTTGTCCTGGTCGTCGCCACCACCACGTCGGCCGCTTCCATCAACGAGACCGACGCCATGAAGCGACTGGAACGAAGGGACACGATCTCGTACCGATCCGCTCAGAATCGCTGAAGGCGACGGAGGGAAGAGAATTCCGAAAATGTCGATCTGCACCCTCTACCAGCCCGACGCTGTGCTTCAGCAGACCCTGGCAACCGAGGGATGCACCCCCGCCAAGTGCACGCTGGGCCCCGTCAACCTCTGCAAAGCCTGCAAGGGCCCTGTGGGCCAGCTGCATTACGTATGAAGGATAGAGCTGCTGAGAAGAGTGAAGCCCTCGATCGCTCGCGAGCGCGCCATGCCGCCTGGCTGGGCGCGATGCGCAGACACCGAACTGAGCGACCCTCGACCACATCCCTTCGCGAGGATTTCTCGAACGAGGCGTAGGGGGAGGAGGAGAAGTCCCCGTGTACCTCCTCGTTGGCTTGCACTACGATCGCCTCTGGTGAACGCGGGCGAAGACAGAGCGAGCCTATCCAGACTGAATGCAAAGCGGAGTTGATGTCGTGCCTCGTCGACGAATCCGCCTCAACTGTTCGAGAACAGCAACGGCGGGGGCAGTGGAGCATGGCATCGGAAGCTACATGCAGAGCGTGCTGCACTGCGGAACGGAGGACATAGCGTCCAAGTCCTCACGGCGACCTTGGGTCCCGGCAGCCGCGGAACGACACAGCCGCACCACAGCGCCTCTCTTTGCTTCCACATCTCTCGCTGCCGTGCCGTATAGTACATCTACAGCTGGGCCTCCATCAGCTCCTTGTACCGCCCGCCGCGGGCCAAGAGGTCATGGTGGTTGCCCTGCTCGCGAATCTTTCCATCTTCGACGACAAAGATCCAGTCGCACTTGCGCAGCGAGCTGAGGCGGTGCGCGACGGTGATGGTGGTCCTGCCCTTGGCCGCATTGTCGAGGGCGCTCTGCACGGCGCCCTCGGCCTCGGCGTCGAGCGCCGACGTGGCCTCGTCGAGCAGCAGGATCTTGGGGTTGCGCAGCAGCGCGCGCGCGATGCACAGCCGCTGCTTCTGTCCGCCCGAGAGCTGCGAACCCTTGAAGCCCACCTCGGCATCGAAGCCGCCCGGAAGGCCCAGGATAAAGTCGAGGATGCACGCTTTTTGGCACGCGTCCTCGAGCTGCGCCTGGGTGACGCTCTGCGGGTCCAACGAGCCCAGGCACAGGTTCCACCGGATGCTGCCCTCGTACAGGATCGGATCCTGCGAGACGTAGGCCATCTGCGAGCGCAGGTCGTCGAGCGGTATGGACCGGACGTCGGTGCCGCCAAACGTGATGGTGCCACGCGACGGGTCATAGAAGCGCTGCAGCAGCGAGAGCAGACTGCTCTTGCCCGAGCCAGAGGTGCCGCAGAAGGCGACGCTCTGGCCGGCCTTGATGCGCAGGCTGAGGTGCTTGAGCGCCGGGTGGTGCGGCCGCTGCGGGTAGCGGAGCTCGATGTCGGTCAGCAGGATGTCGCCCTCGGCGGCGCGAGCTGCCACGTCGCGGTCGACAGCAGCCCCTCCGACAGGCTGCAGGGTGGCCACCCTCGGCTTGCGGCTGAGCCAGCCGTGAATGGTGCGGAACGAGTTCTTGGCCCTGCCGTAGTCGGGCACAAAGGTGAACAGCCTGCCTGCCGAAAATGCGGCGATAATGACGGCCTCGAAGACGGCGTAGAGCTCGGTGAGGCCGAGGTCCGACTTGCTCAGCAGCACAGCGCCCCACCAAAAGATGAGGGCCGAGAGGAGGAGCACCATGGCCTGCGAGACGGCAAAGCCGCCTGCACCAAAGATGAGGTACCGCGTGCGGCGCGGGTCGGCCTTGGCGCGCTCGTCGAACACGCGCATTGTCTCGCCCTCGCGCCCGAGGGCGGCGACCGTCTTTATGGCGTCGACGTTTTCGGCAATGTACGAGGCGGCCTTGTCGACCGACTTCTGGCTGGTCGCCTCGTAGCGTTCCAGCATGACGATATTGAGGTAGCCAGAGACAAAGAGGACGACGATCGGAGCGAGGCAGACCAGCGCGGCCTTCCAGGATAGAGCGAGGCCCATTACGATGGATCCGATCAGGTTGGCGGTGCTGATGATGACCTGGCTGAAGATGAGGCCCGTGGCCGCGCCGACGTTGGCGGGATGGCTCGATACGGCAGAGCTCATGGTACCGCTGGCGTGGTCCTCGGAGTCGAAGAAGCCAATCTCTTGGCGGATCAGGGCAGCCAGGCCGTCCCTCTTGAGCTTGCGGATGACGTGCTCCGAGGCGACCTCGAGGAAGAAGCTGTTGACGAGCACAATGACCAGGTCGGCCATGGCGAGGACGAGGAACCATTGCGCCCAGTAGTTGGCCTCGCGCCGCAGGCGGGCGTCGTCGCCCTGGATCGAGAGCGAGTTGACGGCCTTTCCGGTCAGCCAGCCGGCGACGGGGAAGCTGCCACCCGTCGCGATGGCTCCAAGGATGCCGATGGCGAAGAAGACGCGCTGCGACCAGACGTAGCGGAAGAAGGCCGAGCGGGCCTTGCGGGTCTGGGATCGTTGGACTTCCTTGGCCCTGGCGCCATCGACGCTTCCACTGCCATCGACCGAAGGCGGCGAACCCTTTCCCGCAGAGTCGGATCCGTCCAGGCCAGCCTCCTTGTCGAGCAGCATGGCGGCGGCGGGCGGGATCTCTTCGGAAGCCGCCGGCGCATCGGCCGAGTGCTCGAGCTGCCCGACAGTGTGGCCGGTTGTCCGACCAGGGACCTGCCAATGGTGCTCCGAGGCTCGGCTGGTCCTCTGCCTCATGGGCCCCGTCGGCCGTGAGGGTTGCGGTGGGTCCAAGGGCCGCTGCGGGGCGCTGACGGACGGCGTGCCGTCGGTCCAGGCACCGCCGACCTGAGTCGTCGAGGCATCGGACGTGTACTCGCGGCCCGGTCCCTGGGTATCCTCGATAGCTTTGGGGCTCGATGCGGCCGAGCTGGACGTCGCAAACGGAGAGGACAATGCAGAGGGCGTCGACGCATCGTTCTTGGAGGCTTGCCCCAGGCCAGACTTCTTGAAATCATCGCCGTCGTCGTCATCGCTGCCGTCGCCCTCGTACTCGGCGAAGTGCTTCTGCTGCATCACCATGTCGCGGTAGAGGCAGGGCCGGCCCTTGCCGACGTTCATGAGCTGGTCGTGGGTGCCCTGTTCGACAACCTGGCCCTTTTTCATTGTGACGATGAGGTCGGCGTGCTCGATCGTGCTGAGGCGGTGAGCGATGAGGATCGTGGTCATGCCGCGCTCGTCCTGCTCCCGCTGCAGCGCCACCTTGATCCTGGCCTCGGTGTCCGAGTCGAGGGCCGAGGTGCCTTCGTCGAGGCACAGCACACGCGGCTGTCGGACGAGGGCGCGTGCGATGGCGACGCGCTGTCGCTGCCCTCCGCTGAGGAGACCGGTGCGTCCGCCGGAGACGACGGTGTCCATGCCCTCGGGCAGCTTCTGGACAAAGCCCCAGGCCTGCGCCTTTTCGAGAGCGTCCTGCACCTTGGCCCTGATCAGGGCCGTGCGCGACTTGATGTGCTCCGGGGCATGGGGATCGCCATCGACGTCCGGAGAGTAGGCCCATTCGGTGCCTGTCAGGCCGGCGGCGACGTTTTCAAAGATGCTCGCCGTGAACAGCTGCGGGTGCTGCTGGACGATGGCCACCTGCGACCTGAGCCAGGCCAGGTTGTAGTCGCGGATGTCCCTGCCTGCAAAAAGCACCTCTCCGGCCCCCTGGATCATGGCAGCGTGAGCTTCGGCCTTGTCCGCTTCGACGCCCTTTTCCTCGGCATCGAGGTCCTTGGCAGCGACGACCTTTGCGATCCCGTCCCGCTGCGCCTGCTTCCTCTTCATCTTGGCTTCGGCCTTGTCCTGGGCCTCCTGGTCCTTCTTCTCCTCGGCGGCCACCTTCTCGTCGTCTGGGTGCGGCACGTTGGCCGTCTCGGGGTCGTATTCGCGCAGCAGCAGGCCGGTGATGGTCGACTTGCCGGATCCCGAAGGCCCGACCAAGGCCGTCACCTTGCCGGCCTCGAAGACGAGGGAGACGTCGCGCAGACTGGCGACGTTGGGGCGAGACGGGTAGGCGAAGGTGACGCCCCGGATCTCGAAGCTGGGCTGCCAAGAGTTGTCGGCGGGCAGCTGGAGCCCGCCTTGGTCGCGGATGTCGATCTTGGGCACGCGCTCGATGGCGAGGCGGACCTGCTTGATGGCGGTCCAGCTGTCGAATATGGCGGCAATGTGCGGCACCATGTTGGAAAGGGCAAAGAGCGAGTTGAGATAGTTCCAGAAGGCGGTGAGGAGGTTGCCGAGCGACACCTTGTCCTGTGCGAGGTTGATCGAGCCCCACCAGAAGGCGAGCGAGTAGGTGAGGTTGAGCATGGTGTAGACGGCGCCCATCTCGATGCCGCGGATGCCGGCCTTGCGCATGCCCAGCTTCTCGAGCGGCGCGAGCATGGCTGACTCGAAGCGGGCGATGAGCGCCGACTCCATGCCAAAGGACTGGACGACGCGGACCGAGCCCAGCACCTGCTCGAGGAAGGTCGAGGCGCGGCCCTCGATGCGCAGGGCGGGCGCCCCGACGCGTTCGGTGGCCTTGGCGAGCACCGTAAAGATGATCATGGTGAGGGGCAGCAGCGCCAGGAGGACGCCAGCGATGCGGGGCGCCTTGACGAAGCCGATGATGACCGAGGCAAACAGGGTGGCGAGGGACCAGGTGGCGAAGCCGAGCTTCTCGCCGAAGCCGGTGCGGACAGAGCTGATGTCCTTTCCGGCCCGGTTGGCGATCTCGCCGGCGCCATGGAGGTCAAAGTGCGAGGCATCCTGGGAGAGGACGGAGGCGACGTAGGCGTGGCGGAGCCGCTGGGTGAGGCTGTGGGACGCTGAGCTGAAGCAGGCGAGAAAGAGCCATGCAAAGATGAGCTCGCCAATACCGCAGACGGTGATGACCCAGCCGACAAAGCTGCCGCCGTCGACAATGTCCTGGGACGTGGCGTCGGCAGGGGTGATGCGGTTCGTGTAGATGCCGTAGAGCAGGTCGAGGCTGGGCATGCCGAGACCGGCGATGAGGGCCGAGAGGAGGCCGACAAAGTAGAGCACGCCCGGGTGGGCGCAGAAGGCTCGAGGCTGGCTGATGGGCGATGGGAGAGGCGGGCAAAAGGAGAGGAGGTAGAGAAAGTCGGGCAGCCGGGAGCTGTGGCTGCGCAATGGGGCGACATGGACGGTGCGGGAGGTGGTAGTCGCCCGGATCATGGTCGAGATCGGCTGCTTGGCATCGTGGTGGGCCGCCGAGGACGTCGTTTCTGGCGAGTGAGAGGGAGCATCGAGGGGGGCGGCATCAGAGGATCCTTGTGGGGCGTCTGGCCTGTGCTGTTGTGATTGCCCGGCCTGTATCGTGGCGACGGAATCGAGGTGCTGTGGGTGGCTGACTTCGTTTGTCGGGTCGGCAGCCGTGGTGGCTGGCTTGGCGGCGGCGGCGGCCGGGTCGGATATCGTCATCATGGCGGACGACATTGCGGATGTCGATTGTGGTCAGAGGATGCCCCGAAGGCGAGTCGGGTCTCTTGAGGTGGGAAGCAGCGTCCTGAGCGATGGCGGGCAGCAAAGGAGCAGCAGTGCAGTGCAGTGCAGCGGGTCGAAGGGTCGAGTGGTGTCCGAGTAGCAAGGATGGCTCTAGAAGCTGGTGCGAAGAGGTGGCGAGGCGGCGGGTGTCAAGGCATGGCGAGGAGGGCCGTGACTAGGTATACATACGGCCACCGGCGGCGACGGATGGGCGGAGACGGAGCGCGCGAGAGGGGGGCTGAGCATAGTACGCGGTACGCGGTACGTGGACGCCGAGAGCAAAGGGGCGCGACTGCTCGACAGGCGGGTCCACCGAGAGGCTACCCGGTAGGTGAGGAGCGTTTGCCCGGCGAATAGGTCGGAGCGAGTCATGGCGTGGCGGAGGCGTGGCGTTTGGCCGGTGAGCTCAGCATCCGCTCTTGGTTCGGTCGGTCCACTCGTTTCCGATCGAGTCGAATAGGGCCAAGCAAGCAGGGCCAGGCTAGGGCTAGGGCTGACTCGCATCCCGCCGGCTTCCTTGGGGACGTCACCCACCACGCTTCGACCCAACCTCCAAACGCAGCTCGAGCAAGCCAAGGCGAAGGCAAAAGACAGGCAGGCAAACAGGCGACTCGAGGCAGTCGGATCGGGGCGCCCCCCTCGCCGGCCGGTGGACGTCGTTTGGGGGGCCGGTTGCGTTTCCGTTTAGCCGCTCGCCCGAAGCTCAAGCAGAGGCCCAGGGGATGCCAAGACCGGACGCAAGGCAGCATGAACCATGAAGCAAGCAAGCAAGCAAGCAGGCAGGGGCCGGCCTCGTCGCGGCTCGCTCAGCTCCCTAGCCTGCCTGCCTCTTCCTTTTCTCTCTGCTGGCGTTTCGATCGGTCAATTCCGACGGGCCCTTCGCTAGGCCGGGTCGGGTCGAACCCGTCTCGCCTTTCGCCTTAGCTTGCTTGCTTTCCGTCCCCCTTTCCCGGCGGGTCGCTCGCGTGTCGCTCTTTGCTCAACGGGACCCTCGTCGGCAAGGCAGAGAGACCAAAGGGACAGACCAGCAAGCCGCCGTCTTCGTCGTCCCATCCCGTCTTGCCATGCCATCGAACGCCTGCCGACCATCTATCCATGCCTGCCCGCAATCAGATAACCTCGTCGGGTCTCAGGTCGCACCTTGCCAGCAAACACCAGCGCCTCGACTCTTCTCCTCTCATGACATCCCACATCGCCTCTCCGGCAGCGTCTCGCCACACCACACGGCTAGTCGTGCAAAACCATGTAGGGGGTCTCGCTCCTATCTAGCTAGCTAGTTGGTACACCGCGACCAGAGGGGCAGAGCGAAGGGACAGGACGGGCGAGGCGATGTTGCTTCCTCGCCCTTCCTCGATCCCCGTTTTTGAAAGAGGGGCGCACCTCGGCCGGCACAGCATGGCATTGCACACCTCATGCCGAAGCCTCGGCCTGGGCGGCGGCGGCATCGGCACCAGAGATGCCAGCAGTCTGACCACCGCGAGTTCCTAAGAGACGGGGGCGTGCGGGAAAAGGAGAGAGGTTCCCATGACGAGACGAGACGAGACGAGGCGAGGGTTCAGCGACACGCCCACCAAAACAGCGGCCACGTCTCACAGACGGCCAGGGCGCCAACTGGACCGCCACTCTCGCCGCCGCTGCTACTCACGTCCGATGGTCTCGAGGATGTTGTTGATGCTCGACTGCCACTGCACCAGCCGCGTCTCGAGCGCCTGCCACTGCTCCTGGCCAAACGTGCGGTGCGCCGACCGGTACACGCGGAACGACGAACTGACCTGCGACAGCTTGCCCGACACGAGCCCGGCGCGGATCACGTCAATCACCCACGTCTCGACGTCGTCCTCCGACACCTTGAGCGTCTTGGCAATCTCGCTGTACGCCACCTCGGTCGACACGCTGCGCGCGCACAGACCGGCCAGGTCCAGCAGCCGGATCTTGCGCGACAGCTCAGCCTCGGAAAGGCCTGCGGGCGGTGTGAAACCAGACAAGAGAGAGGGGTAGATAAGGAGGAAAAGAGTCAGTCCAGCTGCGTCCGGCGGCTGCATCTCGAAGCGGTCCTCCGCCGGCCTTCCGCCCGCCACTCACCGAGACGCTCGAGCTCCTGCTTGCCACCCTTGCCGAGCCACGCGTCAAAGTCCTCGGCCGATCCGCCGACAAAGATCTTGAGCAGCTCAAACACGGGCGAGCCGTTGAGGTCGAGCACCGCCTGGATCTTCATCAGGTCCTCAAACTCGTACATCTTGTTGAGCCGCAGCGCGCTGGCCACCGTCCTCTCGGCGGCCCCCTTGGCATCCGCCGACGCCGAGCGGTTGAGCGAGATGAAGCGCAGGTGGAGGACGAGGTACTGGTACGCCTTGGAGCCCTGGTCGTGCTCCTTTTCTGCCGACTCGAGCGCCTTGGCCACCTTTTCCAGGCACGCCGACTTGGCCTCGTCCGACACCTGCCACTCGGCGAGCCATTGTGGCAGGCTCGCCAGCGCAGACGCGAGGAAGTCGAGGTCGTCGTTCTTCGAGGCGAGGCTGAGCAGGGCGTTGAAGAGGTCGAGGCGGAGCGCAGATCGCGCCGGCAGCGTGTTGAAGATGTTGGACAGGCTGTGGAGGCGAGGGTAGCGGACCAGGTACAGGTGAGGATACGGGCGGGGCGGACGGGCGTCGGCACGGGCACGGGCACGAGGACGAGGACGGTATGACGCAGAGGTCAGCTTGGCCTCTCGACCTGTAGCGGACCCTCGTCGGGCCACGACCGGCGTCGCTCGACTCACATTCGGTATCGGACGAGGTTCTTCTCTGTCGGGCCCTCGGAGACCAGGGCAGAGGCGAGCTGGCTCAGGAGCGACTGTCGTGCGCCCTCATCCTCGGGCGTGGCAAACGTCGAGAGGACGAGCGAGCTGATGAGGTTGAAGACGCCCTCCATCTCTGAAAGAGGCCGGCGGCAGATGTGAGGCGAATAGAGGGGTCAGTCTTACAAGCCCGGCATCACCTGGCGACGGCGAGCATGCAGTAGACCTCTGCCGCTCCCGCTGCTGACTAGACGGGGCTGCTCCTCCACTAGACAATGTGGTGGCTACCCGGAGAGCATCGGCCTGCATCCATGTCCACCTCCGCAGAGGACGGCGCACTCACCGCGGTCGGACCCTTCGCCGAGCGACTTGACCTCGGCGACGAGGCTCTTGACGACCTCCTGCTTCTTGACGGGGTCCGCAGCAGCCTGTGCGCCCTCCTCGGTGGGCTGGGGCTCGGCTTCTGCGGCCTTCTTCTGGAAGTTGGCGATGAACTCGGACCGGGAGGCCTCCGGGTGCGATCTGGAGAGGAAGGCCGAGCATTCGACAATCTGTGCGCGTGGACGGCGGGCAGCCGACGGGGCGGGCGAAACGAGGCGAGAGTCAGAGGTGCGAGCTGTCGCGGAAGAAAAGCTCGTTGGTGGGACTGGCGAGTGTGCTCACCTGGTCCTCAAAGGAACCGTCGGCGAGGACGGTGACGAGGTCGCTGCTGGCCATGATGGTCGGTGGTAGCCTCTAGTATCAGGGGCGGGTGGGGTCGGATAGGTCGAGCGGTGCTGCCGAGTCGAAGAGGTGCGGAAGGCGGTGTCCGATCTCCTCAAGTAGTGATGGCGGATGCTGAGTGACGGGCGACGGTGATGGCGATGGCGACGGCGATGCTGCGTTGGTCGTGGAGGTGAGGTGATGGTGTCGGCTATCAGCGCAGCGAAGATTGAGCAGCCGCCGCAGGCTCACCTGCCAGCCAGCAAGCAAGCAGCGCCCGCCCTGCCCCCCCTCTCCTCCTCCCTGGCTCCCGCTCTCCCCTTGGCCGCGCGTTGGAATTTTTTCGCGGGTCGCGAGCCAAATTGTATTGCGAGGGCAGGCCAGGCGGTTTGTATTGGCCCTTGAAGCCCTGGCTCGAGAAGAGATTGAAAATCTTCCAGGCCAGCCGCAGGCAGGCGAGGCTTCCCTGGCCTGGTCGAGGGCAAGGGCGGTGGCATTTCTTCTTACCGGCCGGGTTTGTGATTCTGCACCAGCCCACCGCCCGTCCGCCTGCATGGGCCACCCTGCATCGTCCTTGGCTGCTTCATCCTGGCTCCTCCTCCTCATCCTGCCGTCCCCATCACCCCTTCACCACACATCAGCCTCGCCCTCAACCACCTGCACAACCACCGACCAACGCCCTCTCGCTCGGCGAACCATGTCATCGCTGTGGATCATCAACAAGGCGGGCGGGCTCATCTACCAGTCCGAGCACTTTGTCCACCCGGACGCCGCCTCGCTGCCCAACGGCGGCCGCCTGTCGTCCAACGAGTACCTCGTCCTCGCCGGAACCCTGCACGGCATCCACGCCATCACCGCCCGCCTCAATCCCGTCGCCGGACGCAAGTGCTCCGGCCTCGAGAGCCTCGAGGCCGACGGGTTCAGCATACGCGTCATGGCTACCGCCACCGGTACGTCGCCGTCTCCCTCTCCTCTTTCCACCCGCTGCGCTGCGGAAAATGCATGGCACGTACTGATGCTTCCTGATCCATCCCTTCATCCAGGCACCAAGTTCGTCCTCGTCACGTCCCCTGCGCATCCCAACCCGCTCGGCGTGCTGCAAAAGTGCTACGAGGCCTACGCAGACCAGGTCATGAAGAACCCCTTCTACACACCGGAGATGCCCGTCCGGGTGGAAGGCTTCGATCGAGCCGTAGAGGGGCTCCTCAAGGTGTGACGGCGGCGGCGTCATCCAGCCACGCACTCCCCGCCGAGCATCTCGACGCAACCCCCCCTGCGGCCTCGACCACTCTTCGCCGTACCCTCTCAATTGTATTTCTAGCCACTGACATGCCATCGTGCGCTTGCGTATCGCCACTCAATCGCGCAGGAGAGAGCACTTGTTGAGGATCTTCTTGACGGCCTGCCGTGGCGGGGCCCCGGAGATCGACGAGGGAGATGACAGCCGCAGCATCAGCATCCAAGCGTCCCCGGGCTGCAGCCAGGCAGAGTCGTACTCACTGGCGGTTTGCGGTTGGGCGCGAGAGCGAGGCAGGTGGGGATGTTTTCGGGCTGCTCGATCCAGAGGTAGTGCAGCGGCACCTCTTCGCCCTCTCTCGTCGCTTCCCATTCCTTTCTCGCCTGGGCTAGTCGTTCGGAGAGAGCGGTGAGGGTCGTCTTGCCGTTGTCCGAGGGCGTCTGGAGCACAATCTTGTGCATGTGCGCCAGGTTTTCCGGACCGAGGTAGGCCGTGGTGTTGGGCGAGGTCGACGAGATGTGGCAGGCCTGCCGTGGCGACGAAGGGGGAGAGGTGGTACGTATGCGGTCAATGCGGCCATCGAAGAGGCGGAGGAGGGGACTGACGTCGAGACCTACGGCGAGAGCGGCATGTGCGGACTGGGCCATGAGCGGTCCTCTTGTCCACCCGGGTTGCTGTGGTCGGTGCGATGGGCACGTGCAGAGACGGACGCCATCAGTGAGACGGCTTCGACGCCTGTACAGCAGAGAACAAGGAGCCCACCTTGACCAGCTCGCGGTCGACGATGATCTGCATGACGAGGGGCTGCTGCTCGGTCGAGGGGGCGGGGGTCGACGTCGATGTCGATGTCGATGCTGTGCCGTCTGCCATCCTGGGGTCGGTGACGAGGGTCCTCGACGGGGGGTTCCTTGGCGAGAGTGAGAGGAGCGTGCGGGATGTCAAGGAGCGTGTTGCCGGTCCGAGCATCTGCTGTGGGGTCAGAGTGAGGCAGGCAAGAGCGAGGAGGACGAAGGTGGTGGTGGTGGTGGTGGTGGTGGCGGTGGTGGTGGTGGTGGTGGCGGTGGTGGTGGTGGTGGTGGCGGCGGTGGCGGTGGCGGTGACGGTGACAGCGGCGGTGTTGGTTGGCCCGCGCTGTTCCTCCACATGAGGGGTTGGGCTTCTTCGCCCGACAGACTGAGCACAACAGCGTCCCTCTCCTTCCTCTCCTTCCTCTCCTTCCTCTCCTTCCCTCGTCCATCCTCTCGCAAGACCCACCGACTGACCGACGGAGATGGCACCACCAACATCGGCCCTGGGGCCACATCGCTGCCTACTCAACAAGCCATCTCGCTCCCTCTACCGAGGGATACGCTCCGCCCCTCGCCCGACCCGCGCAGCTGCACCTGCCCCTCCTCATCCTCGCCCACGACCTCACCTTTCGTCGGCCGCCTCTCCCTCATGGCAGCGCACATTCTCAACAACGCACAGCCTATCACGCCCCGCTCACGCCGTACAGACACACGATAACGCCACCATCTTTGCCCTGGCATCGGGACGGGGGCAGGCCGGCATCGCAGTGATTCGCATCTCGGGCCCGCACACACAGCACATCTACCACCTCCTCTGCCGCAGCCCCCATCCTTCCAGCAGCAGCAGCAGCAGCAGCAGCAGCAGCAGCAGCAGCGGCAGCCTGCCGCCGAGTCACAAGCTCTGCCTGCGCCGCCTCTACCATCCTCACACCGGGGAGCTGCTCGACCACGCCGCGCTCGTCTACTTTGCCGCGCCCCGGTCCTACACGGGCGAAGATGCGCTGGAACTCCACGTCCACGGCGGCAACGCCACGGTGCGGGATACCCTCGACGCCCTGGCCGATATCGGCTTGCCCTCTCCCTCCTCCTCCTCCTCCTCCTCCTCCTCCTCGACGGCCGCGATGAGCGCCAGCCTGAATGTACGACCAGCGGAACCGGGCGAATTCACACGGCGCGCCTACACAAACGGACGCATGGACCTCACCTCGTCCGAGGCGCTACACTCACTCATCACGTCTTCCACGTCGTCGCAGCGTCGGCTCGCGCTCCAGGGGGCGGGTGGGGCGCAGACGCGGCGGTACGAGTCGATGCGGTCGAGCCTGGTCGATGCCATGGCCATGGTCGAGGCCCTGATCGACTTCAGCGACGAAGAGGGTGTCGAGCCCCACGCCTGGACGTCGGCCAAGCGCGCGGCGCGCGCCATGAAGCGGCTCATCGAAGACGAACTCGGTCTCGATCCCTCCTCCCCCTCCCCCTCGTCCTCGGGCGGTGCGGGACGACGTGCGGGGTCGGGGATGGGGAAGAGGCACGTGGGCGAGATACTCAACGAGGGCGTCAGGCTGGCCATCTACGGACCTCCCAACGCGGGCAAGTCGAGCCTGCTCAACGCCCTGGCCGATCGCGAGGCGGCCATCGTCAGCGACGTGCCCGGCACCACGCGCGACGTCGTCCAGGTCGATCTCGACCTCGGCGGCTACAAGGTCGTCGCCTACGACACGGCGGGGATACGCGGCGACGACGAGACGACGGATCGCATCGAGTCGATCGGCATCCTGCGCGCGCGCCAGGCCGTCGAGGCTGCCGACCTCGCCCTCCTCGTCTACCCGCTGCCGGACCTCGTCGCCGCTCCGAGCTCGACGACGACGTCGTCGATGCCCATCCTCCGACCGCATAGCTACGGCGGCGAAGATCCGGATCTCGTCCTTTTGAACAAATCCGACCTGGTATCCGACCCGGACGCCGCTATCGCCACGAACCTGCTCTCGTCCCGCATCAAAGGCACCGGGACGACGACAGCCACGACGACGAGGATCTACACGGGCTCGACAAAGACATCAGATGGACTGACGTCGCTCCTCTCGTCGCTCTCGGACCTGCTCGAGGCGAAATACGGACACCACCTCTCGCCCACCTCGTCGTCGTCTTCGTCGTCGTCGACGCCACTCGTGACCCAGACGCGGCACCGGTTCCACCTGCTGGAATGCCACGCCGCCCTCGTCGAGTTCGACGCCCTCGCCAGCGTGCCCGACGACGACCGGGTCGACCTCGTCCTCGCCGCAGAACAGCTCCGTCTCGCCGCCAGGGCGATTGGTCGCGTCACGGGTCTCGACGTCCGGCCCGACGAGGTGCTCGGACACGTGTTTGGCAAGTTTTGCATCGGCAAGTGATGCGGCGATGAGGGTTGACGCGCTGGGTTGGTATGCTGCGGGCTGGAGGGTGCACCGAGGCGCGTGTTGTACAAGCATGTGGGCGGATATCGTGGAATGGTATAGGATGCGCGGAGGGGGGAGTGGCCAGTCAGTCGTGAGGCATCGGCATCGACGCCAGCGCCATCTCAAAGTCCTGATCGCCCTCCCAGCTCTGCGACATGGGCTGGCTCGCCTCTCCGTCGTCGTCGTCGTTGTCGCCCTGGTCCATCGCCTCGTCGCCGCCCGCGCCGCCCGTGGTCGACAGCTGAGGCGTGTGGTGGTGCAGATAGTGGTTGTACAGCGCCTCGTCGTCGTCGAGCAGGTCCTCGGGCGGCTCCAGCTCCGCCGCCTCGGCTCTTGGCGTGACGTCCGCACCGGCAGCGCCGTCACCGCGCCTCGCCATGGTCATGCCGACGCCGGGGGTCCACGTGGGCCCGATGTTCTTGGTGGGCGTTGCGTCGGCCGGCAAAGGACGCCGCTGCGCTCCGGCGTAGGTCGAGGCGGTCTGCAGGTCGGACTCCTCCCTCCTCGTCTCCTCTTCGAGGTAGGCCACCTCGTCGGGATCGAGCCACCCGACCTCCCTCTCGCCGCTGGCTTCCTGCGCCCGCTTGATGCGGCGATACTCTGCGACCATGACGCGCCGGATGAGCTCCTCGTCATCTTCCCACCACCTCGACCCGCCGGCAGCGGGACCGCCCTCGTCCATGTCGGCATCGACGTCGCTGCTGCTCGGCAGGTCGTCGCTGCCAATCATGTCGGCCCGTCTGAATCGCGAGCTCGGGTCGGCATGGCCTGGCGTGAGGACCAGCTCGTCGTCTGGCTCTGCGCCCATGTGCCGCAGGAAGGATGCGCCGCGGGTATGGGCGAGGGTGCGTGCGCGGTCGCGCGCCATCTGCTGCTGGCAGCGCTGGCGGAACTTGGCGCGCCACACCTGCCTGGTAGGCGAGTCCTGATCGAGGGCGACGGCACCCGCAGCCGCACCCGCCGCCAAGGACCGGTCTGGAGAGGAGAGCGAGGCCGGGTCGCTCGAGCGATGGTGTGGCCGTGCGCGGTTACCCGACAGCCGCCCGGAGTCGGCGACGGCATAGCGGGAGCGCGAGGGCGCATGTGTCGAGGCGGCGGTGCGGTTGGAAGACCCGGTAAAGAGCGACTGGCGCTTGGACTCGAGCAGGGCGTGGGTATGTGCCGGCAGCGGTGTGCTGTTGGGCGAGGAAAAGGTCTGTAGTGGCAGGTAGCGGTCCTGCGCCGCGGACGACGAGGGACCAGCGACGGCGTTGTTCGCCGCTGTCATCGGGCGCAACGACGATGACGACGACGACGACATCGAGACGTCGGGCGTGGGCGGCGCGGGGGGTAGGTGCCACATTGCTGGGCCGGGGGCGGCGTGATTCCACGAGGTGGGGTGGTGGGTGCGGTAGGGCGATGCGAGCGGGCTGGACATGTCGAGCGAGTTCCTAGAAGTGACCCTGGACCCGCTGGCGCTGGCGCTGGCGCTGGCGCTGGCGGTATGGGTGGGTGAAGCGGAAGAGGAATTGGCGGGTGGCGGGTTGCGGGTGGCGGTGGTGGTTGCGAAGCAAGGGATGCGTTCGGAGCAGCTCGGCCAGTCGAGCAACGGCGAGGGCTGTGGCGTGGAGGCCCGTCCGCCGGCGAGCGGAACGCGGCCCTCGACAGCAAGCAAGCCTCAAAATCAAGATTCAAGATTGACAGCAGCCTCGCCAGCCAGCCGGCCAGCCAGAGCCACGGCTCTCTACGCCAAGTCGGCCTGGCCAGCCTGGGACGCGACGCGACTCTCATCAAGCCAGACCTCGAGGCGCTCTCTCTCTCTCCCCCCTACTGAGCAGGCCTCGCACGCGGCCATCGATCATTTGTATGGTCTCTACTGCTGCATTACGACGGCATGGCAATACCACTGACGGCAACCTGGACACCGCAGTCACGCCTCCGGATCCACGTAGACGCCACTCGTCAGCAGGTACTCGACCAGAAGCGACGGCACCATGTCCTCGAGCTCCCTCCGCTTGCCGCTCTCGTCCATTCCGGCATCCCGCAGCACCTCGCGGATCCGCGTAGAGCTCAGCCGCGTCTCGGCCGGCTCCAGATCGAGCAGCGCTACGCTGCCGGCGTCGACCCACTTCTTGACCCGCGGCGACCCGAGCAGCTTGGCCTCGTCGTCGGCCGCCTCGTCGGCCGACGAGAGCGATGGGAACGACGCCGCATCGCGCCTCGCACAGACGAATGTGGTCCGCTCCTCGTCGAAAAAGACGCCGCACTGGCGCTCCATTTCGGCCTCGGAGGGGTAGTACTTTGGCTGAAACACGCGGTACAGGGTGTCGAAGCCGACGACCCAGTGCAGTCTCGGCCGCGACGCCCTGCGATCCGCCTCGCCCGCCCTCTGCCGGAGCGCATCCCAGGTGAGCGTCGACTTGTCAAAGATGAGGGGCTTGTCGACGAGCGCGACGGCGACGTTGGGCCGCGCATCCTGCTGCTGCTGCCGCTGCTGCTCGAGCTCGAGCTCGTGTTCGATCTGCTGGGCGAGCAGCGTCATCATGTGCACGCGCTGCTCGAGCGACGCGTCGCCCCTCTTGCCCTTGCCCTTGTCGGCGTTGTTGGTCGAAAAGAGGAGCAGGTGGGCGTCGTAGTGCCGCTTGCTGCCCGCCGACGACGACTGGGCCAGCAGCGGCCGCGAGAGGGTGAGGGCGAGGTGGGCCTTGGATGGAGGGTTGAACGACGAGTCGAGCACGGCGATGTCGAGGTTGCCCAGCTGTGGAGATGGGGACGGCAATGAAGATGGCGACTGCGCTGCCGAAGATGCGCTCGAGCTGGGAGGGTATGGCCACGAGGGATGGGTCGAGTAGAGGATCTCGAGGCCCGGCTTGCCGGCTGCGCTCGACGCCGATGCCGACGCCGACGCCGACGCTGCCACGGCCTTTGCGATGCGTGAGGCCGCAGCCGTCTTGCTGGTCATCTCGGTTGCAAATCGAACAAGCCAACTTCGGGGCTTGGAGGTGGCGATCGAGGTTGATGAGAGGAGGAGCAACGATGGCAGAGGCACAAGAGGGAGGAGGGGGTTCCAGCAGAGCAAGGTGGTTTGTCTTGTCCCTTCCCCGGCTGGCTCGTGCGCCACGCGTCGTCGGCATTCGGGCGAGAAAGAGGGCGGCCAGCAACCAACCGACTGCCAACAACGCAGCGCGGCCCAGCCCCTTGGAAGTCGCTCTGCAACCAACACTTCTCACCTTGTCACCATCAGCAGCGCCACTGACTACTACCATCAGCCTCGCTCGACACCGCACACAACCCTCGCCTCAACATGGACTCGTCGCTCTTCGAGGTCCAGTCCCTCTTCTACCAGGGCGCCTACAGGGGCTGCATCGACCTCGCCCTCTCGTCGACGTCGTCGGCCAGCTCCACCGACCCGACGGGAACCTCCATCCTCCTCTACGCCGCCCGCTCCCACCTCGCCGCATCGCCGCCAAACCCATCCTCCGCACTCTCCGTCCTGTCGTCGCTCCCGCAGCAGCCCCACGTCGACGCCGTCCGCGCCCTCGCCCGCTTCGTTCAGGCGCGCTCCCAGGGCGACCAGGACGCCATCAGCAGGGAGACGGTCAACCTCACCGAGCTCCTCGACCACGCCGTCGTGGGCGAGGAAAAGGGCCAGGTCATCAGGTGCGCCGCTGCCACCGCCCTCTTCCTCGAGGGAGACTCGGAAGAGGCGCTCGAGACCCTCGGCGTCGGAAGCGGTTCCAGCCGCGAGCTCGAATGGTGAGCCTGCCGGTCCAGGCAGCTGAGCCAACCCGTCGCTGTCGTCTTTCCGTAAAGATGACTGATGTTCCCTGCCCCTCATCCGCTCTCTTCATCTTCTTCCCTCAGCGTCGCGCTGGGAGTCCACATCCTGCTCTCGATCCACCGCCTCGACCTGGCCGAAAAGGAGTACCTGGCAGCGCGAGCATGGGCCGACGACTCGCTCCTGATTCAGGTGAGCCCGACCTGCCTTGTCCTTGCACTGCACTCGTCCGGTCTGCTGCTGCCGGGCACCACGCTGACGTCTCCCTCCCTTGCCCTGGCCCGTGCCCTCGCTGCTTCCTCGTTGCCCCGGCCGTACCAGCTCATTGAGGCATGGCTCGGCCTGGCCCAGGGCGGTCGGTCGACGCAGCAGGCATTCTACGTCTACGACGAGCTGGCGCAGAACCCGAGTGCGGCGGGGACGCACAAGTCGGTCGTCTCGCTCGTGGGCAAGGCGACGGCGCTCGCTGCCAACGGCGATGTCGAGGGCGCCAAAAAGCAGCTCGACGAGGCGCAGCAGCTCGTGAGTGTCTGCGTGGTCCTTCTGCGGGTGGCCTGGCGATGCACAGATCCGGAATACTGATAATCAAAGGAGGCGACGACGATGGTGCTTGCGCCCTCCCCCGGCAGGACCCGGAGAACGCAGAGATCCTGGCCAACAAGGCGGCGCTGGCGGCGTATGGCGCCAGCCTCTCGCCCAACAAGCCCAACCCGACGACGGAGCTGCTCGAGTGAGTGTTTCTCTCTCTCTCTCTCTCTCTCTCTCTTCTCCTCGCACCGACGTCGAAGCTGACTGTCGCCGCCGTCGAGCGCTCTGCCACTGTTCCTCTGTGCGCACACGCACGCGCACCCGCCAGGCAATTGCGAAGGGCCAATGCGAGCCACCCGCTGGTGCAGGAGTACGAGTCGCTCGACCGGACGTTTGACGAGGTGGCGGCCAAGTTTAAGCTGGGCAGTGTCGAGGCATGATAGGATGGGATGGGATGGGATGGCCGGTGTCGCCCCGCCTCGCCAAGGCCTGTACGATTCGGCGGCCTGGACGCAACTTGACAGATGCCGCATCTTGTCTTCCCCACGGCTGCTGCTCGGCACGTGCTTGCGACTGTGGCGCTACAACTCGACGACGACGGGCGCCTCGTCGCCGAGTTCGGCATAAAGGTCATCCTCGACCTCCCTTTCCTCGTCGAGCAGACTATCGAGGTCCCAGCCGAAGCGACGCTTGACGAGGTGCGAGAGGGACCTCCATGCCGCGATGAGGGCCTCTTCGCCGGCAGGGTCGCGCGACGACGAGGCGACGAGGGCGCGCGCGACGTGGACGCGCAGCGTGCCGAGGTTCTTGACCAGCTCCACCTCCTCCTTCGCCCCTCCTCCTCCTCCTGACCCGGGTGATTGGTCGGACCAAAACGAAGAGGGGAGCAGCTCGAGTTGGGCAGTGAGAGCGCGGAGAAAGGAGACGTGCGGTCGTACCGTCACCGCGACCAGAGATTGCACCCCATTCCCGTCTCCGCCGCCGCTGGCTCTTTGCGCCGCATCGATCGAGGAAGGGTGCGGGTCGAAGCCGCTCGATGCGCCGAGGATCGACGACGAGTGGCAAAAGAGCGAGACGAGCCGCGTCCACTGCGACAGGGCGGCGTGGTTGTGGCTGTGCACAAAGAGGTGGAAGCACAGCTCAAACTCGCACAGCAGCGCGCCCATCGTTGCGTCGTCGTCGTCGTCGCCGTCGTGGGAGTGCTGCTCGACGACGCCAGCGTTGCTCCCGGCCGGATCGGGGAGGACGCCGGCGCGGACGCGGCAGCGGCGCATCGTCTCGACGAGGAGGTAGCTCTTGTCCTGGCTCCACCGCGTCAGCGTCGATCCCGTCGAACCCGGCGGCCAGCTGCGCCGCAGGTCCAACGGCGTAAAGCGCAGCGTGCGGCCGTCGTCTCCGTCCTCGTCGTCGCTGAGGTCGGCAGGATGTGCAGACCGATCCCGTTTCCTCTTTCGTTGTTGCGCTCCGTCCTCCTTCTCCTCGTCGTCGCTGGGGACGACTTCGAACCGCTGCATGACCTCGTCCTCCACGTCGCTGGTCGCAGGTCGAGCTTTGCCCCATATCCGCCTCCCGCCCTTCGCCCTTGCAGCCAGTCCATCTTCGGCATCGGCGTCGTCCGGACCGGTGGTCATGCTATCGACGACCGCATCGCCGGTACCGGGTTGGAGGCCGACGATGCGCGCGACGACTGCGCCGCCGATGCGGCCGCCGTCGCGGCTGAGCCAGGACGTGGCGCGGTGCCAGTTCCCCAGCGCCTCGTGCGGGTACGCGAGGAGGTGTGGGTCGAGCGTCTGCAGGTACTCTGGTGATGTGACTGTGGGTGTTCGCTCGGGCGGCGACGAGGACGAGGACGAGGAGGGGGGAGGGAGCCTGCGACGGAGTTTGGTGCGTCTCGCCTGTGCTGGCCCTGTGCGGGTCGATGGTGCCGCGGTGCTTCCCGGAACGGTGGCGTTGGCGTGCGACGAGGAGGAGGAGGACGACGACGAGGACGACGACGACAAAGGGGGCAAGACGAGTTGCTCGAGGGCCGCGTCAAAGTGGCGCACGACGACCTCTCCCGGTGCAAAGCGGCGAAGGAGGACATTCCTGATTCCAAAGGCGTTGTCGATGCCGGCCGTGGCTGTGCCCGTGGTGTCAGCGTCGGCGTCGACGTTGGCGCGAGAGGGGAGGCACCAGCTGATGCAGTGCCATCCGGGCGGGATGAGCTTGATGCCCTGGAACGAGGCGTCGGTGAGGTAGCAGGTCGGGTGGCCGTCGATGAGGAGCTGGGTGCGCGCCGGCAGGTTCGAGACGAGGAGAAAGGCGTGCGTCTCGAACAGTATCTGCGCCTCCGAGGGCGTCAGGTGGTGTGCTGGCATCGTGCAAGGGATGGCAGCGGAGGAGGGGGAGGAGGAGGACGACGAGGACGACGAGGACGAGGACGAGGATGGTGGTGGCAACGAGGAAACGGCGGCGACCCAAAAAGAACAAAGTGCCAAAGACACACCTCCACCTGGCCCAGGCCGTCGTCGTTGTCCTAACTTACGCCCACCATCACCACCACCATCGTCTCACTCTGGCCCACCATCCAGCCATGCCCTCGCCCGACGAACCACCACCACGGCCACCACGGTCAACTGCAGCAGCAACGGCATCATCCTACATCTCCTCTCTACCAACGGACCTCCCCGCCTCGCAGGTCGACTCGTACATCGCCTCTCTCATCCTCCGCGACTCGACGGCGCGCGCCAGCCAGTACGACAAGCACGGCATCGCAGCCTACCTCGACGGTCGCGACCCTTCCTCCTCCTCGCCCGCCGCTGCAACGCCAGGTCCGCGCGAGTACAACAAGCGCTTCCTCGCCTCGGTCCTCCGAAACGTACAGGGACACAACCACGCCGTGATACGGCAGCAACTCGTCGATGCCACCCGGGCCAACCGGCACCGGTACCGCGGGGGCGTGGACGATAAGGGGAAGGCGAGGCAAAGGGGCGACGAGGGGGAGGAAGATAAGGACGAGGACGAGGATGGGCACCGCCCTACCCGCTCCCGCTCCGCCTCCCCCGCTCCGGACGCACAGGGCTACTCGTCGAAGATGGACAAGTACTTTGACGTCGCCTACGACCCTACCACCGACGTCACACTCGACGACGTCACCGACCCGCGGACAGGGTTGATACGAGGTGACGACGAGGGGTGGGACCGACTGGCAGGCATTCTGACGGCCGACGAGAGGGCAAAAGAGGAAAAGAGGCAGAGGAAGCGAGATAGGGATCGGATACGCGCCGAGAGGGAGGCAAAGAGGAGGCGCAGAGAACCAGGCGGCGACAATGCAAGGAGCACGAAGAGGCATAGGGACAGGGACAGGGATCGCGCTTCCGTCGACTCGGATGGGCAGCCAGACTCGGCGATGGCGGCGACAAGCGAGCGTCGACGCCACCGCTCCAGGTCCAGATCGCCACGACGCGACGCAACACACCACCACCACCACCATCGCCGTCGTCGGTCTCGCTCGCCCGCCTCTGACGACGACGACAACGACCGACGACATCCTTCCCGACACCACCGGAGCGACCACCGTCGACATACGAGCAAGAGGCATCGGACCTCCTCTTCCCGTCGTGACGCCTCACCCTCGCGCCACTCTCGTTCTCGCCGCGACCCCTCCCCCTCCCCACCACGGCCGCCGCCGCCGCCGCCGCCAAAGGTGCGCGAGTGGGACTTAGGCAAGAATCTCAGCTTCTAGGCCATCGTCTCTTCAGTATCGACATCAATCGACGGATGGAAAGAAAGGGCAATCGAATCCTTCGTCTCGTCATGCAAGAAAGGGCGAGGGCTCGGTTGGGTCGAGCCGGGTCGAGTCGATCCTGAGCAGATGGTGGGATAAGGTACCGTCGAAGCGGCATGGGCGTGGGCCGGTCAAAGGTGCAGGCGGGCAGGCAGGCAGGCTGGATTAGAGAAGCAAGAGGCCAAGGGCAGCGGGTCCGGGTTGCGGCATGGGGATCCATCCGACCATCGATCAAGAGAGCGGACGAGAAGAGAGATCCGAAACTGTCCATCATTGGTTGGGCCCAGTGGCTTTTGCGAGCGCTTCGGCTGAAGAAGGCCGTCGCAGGCAACAGGGCACGGGGCGCAGGTGGCATCGTCAGGCAGGACGACAAGGAACGGCAGGGTGGGAAGAGGGCGAAACTGGCACGTTTCAGCATCGACGCGATGCAGCGCCACCACGTCAACGACGCCAAGACGTTGGAGCGTCAGCCTCCCTCCGCCCGTCGCCGACTGGAGGCCCCCCGGCCCCTTTCTCCACCTCAGAGACACTCACGTATGGCTCCGGAGCGCACCCACGCGTCCATCATCTCCTGCAGCTGCTCGGTCCCGATGCGCACCGTCGGGCGCCAGCCAATGACGCGCTGGATCTTGCTGCCGTCGAGCGCAATGGCGCGGTTGGCGAGCGCCTCGGGATCCTGGAACGACGTCAGGTGCGTGCCCCGGTTGGCGTACTTGAGAAACACGTCCTCGACAATCGCAGCGTGCCGCTCGTTGACCTCGTCGACGACGCTCGAAAAGTTGAGCTTGGCCCACGCGTTGATGGCCGCATTGACAAAGCCCACCTCAATCTTGTAGTACTCGCCGACGATCTTGATCAGCTTCCCCCTGCGCGCGCGTTGGGGGAAAGAGAGAGAGAGGTGGAGCAGAGAAGCAACGAGATTGGTCAGATTCAGCGGTGCTGGTCAAACAAGTGAGGATCAAAGCTTCGGAGGCGCCCACACGCCCTGCTCACTGTGTCATGTCCTCGTCGTCGACGACGTTGAAGACGGGTGCCGTGGGCGTCGCGTCGCGCGGGCAACAGCCCTGCCCGACCTTTTCGCGCAGCGTGGCCTGCACCTTGTCCTTCATCTGCACGGGCGGAAGCTTCTCACCAGCCTCGTCGTCGCACGCCCGGCGGTCGCGCTGCGAGACCCACTGCGCCACGCCCCACGCGGCCCGGCACCAGTCGGTGGACCAGAGGGTGTGGATGCGCAGGTCGGGCCCCCAGAGCCACTTCATCGGTTCCGACGTCCACTGGTACAGTTTGCCAATCATGAAGCGGGCGGTGGCGGCGCTGTGGTAGAGGTGGGGGCCCATGACCTGGGCGGGGCGGAGGATGGCGAGATTGAGGCCCTCGACGCTGGCGACGGCGCGCTCGGCCTCGTACCACCAGTAGGAGCGGATCGTCTTTGGCTTGGGCACGTCGCCCTCCTTTGCCGGCGCGGCGTCGGGCGACACGGTCATGAAGCAGTTTGTGTCGCGGATGTGAGCACGGACGTTGCGCCGCCGCGACTCGCATGCGAGGGCGTGGGCCAGCTTGACGGTGCGCTCGATGAGGAGCTCCTCGGGCAGGATGATGGGCAGCACGCCCTCGCCGGTGAAATCAAAGACGATATCGTAGCTGCCGCCATTTGGGTTGTCGTAGACCTTTTCGACGTTGGCTGCGTGAGAGGGGCGGCAAGCAGACGACCGGGATCGAGGCAGCGTTCAGTCCCCGAGCAAGCAGCAGCAGCAGCAGCAGCAGCAGCAGCAGCAGCAGTAGAAGTAGAAGTCTTAGGGTAGAGGAGCAACGCGGCGCGGCCTCGCCGTCCCTCGACTCACCAGCGATGTTGAGGTTGACCTGCCTGTATTCGACGCGCGGGTCTTCGAGCGCCTGCATGGTTTCCGGGTCGACGTGGCTGCGAGCCGGAAGGGGGAGGCAAGGATGTCGGGCTGGTGAGCTGCTGCAACAGCGCCCAGGCAGCATCATGATAGGAGAGCTGCAGCGACATACGTGGTGCTGGCGCCCGGGGCGACGAGGAACTTGTCTGCGATGCGGATGTGGCTGATTCTAGGGCCCGACCATGCTGGGTCCTTGTCGCTGTTGACGAGGAAACAGACGAGTGGCCTCGCGAGGTGAACCAGGCCGCCTGTCGGGGTGGCGTCGACATCGAGGAGCAGGTGGGGACGAGAGAGGGTGTCAGCGTGGTGGGCGTGTCGTGTGTGCGAGCCGCGAAGGTTTGGCGCGACTGACCGAGGATGAGGACGGACACCTGCGGCGGGAGCTCGGACATTGTGGGGCGTCGACCTGTCGTGTGATCTAGATTGGCTCGGTGGTGGGAGGCGTCGACCTGTCGCGGGATCTAGATTGGCTCGGTGGTGGGGAGCGATAGCGGGTACGGAGGAGAGGAATCTGTAATGTGACTAGGGCAGCGTTGCTGGCGACGGGGGCAGCGAGCGGCGGGCGGTGGTGGTGGTGGGTGGTGGTGGTGGTGGGTGGTGGTGGGTGGTGGTGGTGGTGGTGGTGGTGGGTGGTGGGGGGAGTGAGGAGAGGGTGCATCAAACGATATGTCGAGCGAGCCGCGCGGCGGCGGTCGTGGCTGCCGGTACTCTATCTGTGTAGCAGGCTGACGGCCGTCATGCCGAGGTCCGAGCGCTGGCCCAGTAGGTTGGCAGGCGGCTCGACAGGGGAAGAGCGGACACATGGCCATGGGCGTGCGTGGGTGCGTGGTGCGTGGGTGCGTGCAACCCATGCACGGCGCCCTGTACGAAGCCTGACTGTTCGTCCTGCTCAACGGCCAGCGAGTAACTAGTGTGGCCAAGCGCTGACCAGCGCGGACCAAGGCTCGTCGTCAGTTGATACGTACCTACGTGCGTACGGCGGATCGGCCTACGTGGCGCTGCGCTGTGTGGGGCTGCTGTCCTCTTTGCTGCCGGGCCACGCAGACGGCCCACGATACACACGATTCGCTGGCTGCCCAGAGTGTCCAGGCAAGCAGGGCAGGGCAGGGCAGGGCAGGGCAGGGGGCGTGCAGCGGCGAAGGTGCAAGACTCTCAGATCTGCTGCTGCTGGCTGGTGGCGCAAGCAGATGGCCCCCAAGGTGCGTGCGTGGGGGAGACCTGAAGGAGAGACGATGCACGCACGCCCATGCCATCACGTCGTTGCTTCTTCTTGCTGGCTTCTCTCGCATCAGCCAACTCACTCTAGACGCCGGCCAGCCGTGCGGGCGGGCAAACCACCGGCCGGGTAAATCTCTGGCTCTGGCTGCCCGGTACCGCGCCCTCGGGACAGCCGGGGTGGGGCCTGCAAAGTCAGCCAGCAGGCAGGCAGGCTAGGGCGTGGAGAGAGAGGCGGGAGGCCGGGCGGGCCAAATCCGAGACCAACACCCTGGCCGGGTCGGCCCCTGCCCTTTTCGACAGACCAACACCTGCTGGCCTTCTTGCCTGCCGCCCTCTCGACGGCCATCACGACCACCTCGACCACGCACCACCAGCACCGCCCTAGTTCGGGGAGCAGCCGACGCACCTCAGCAGCCCGCAATCCATCGCAATGTCCCGCTCGGCCGTCGTCCGCGACAGTGGGCACGCCGCATCGGCTGGCGCGATACCGACGACGCCGCCGACGCACCGCCACCCTGGCAATGGGCAGGACATATCATAAAATTCTAGCGACCAGGCAAGCAAGCAAAGGCACTCACCTCGCACCACGCAACACCGTAGGCCCACGGTACAGCCCAACCACGGGTCTCGTCTTTGGCAGACCGCCCATCTCTTACTCGCACCCGCACGCTGGATGTTCAACTCGCCGCGCAGGAGCCCCACCCTTCGACGACGCCGCAAGAACCGCCATGCGCAGCTGCGACCATCCTCTGCCCTGGTCGCACCCTCCCCTCTGGCGTCAGCAAAAAGCCAAGCTTCCGCGATCTCTCTGGACGGCCCGGTCTCGATCTCGGCACACGCAAACAGAGCTCAGCCTCTCAGGAACACGCTACCAATCCACGCAGCCCGGGCCAGGCTAGGCTTGGCGCTGCTTCCATCTGCTCGCCGGATCGAGCAGGGCACGGCCAAAATGATGACTGAAGATCCACGCTCAAACAGCACCGTAGCGCGCACCGCCGCCGACGCCGTGGGACAAGGCCCTCTGGGCATCCTCGCTCCCCGACAACGATATAGGCGACAGACGTCCATCGCTGCCCTTCTCCTTCTTCTTCCCTTCTTTCCTTCACCATCCTTCACTTTCTTTGGTCCACCGCGCCCTCTGTTTCCCTGCACGCCTTCGTACCGGTCGACGTCGGCGCCCGCTTCTTTCTGCTTCTCGGGCTGGTCCCTCTTTCGTCACCCTCGTTCACTTGGCCTGTCGTCGCCTCGCTCCCGTTTCGTGGCCCGGCGCCGCACCACTTTCCTTTGGCCGTCTCGCTTTTCGTACCGTCGCCGGTCGACGTCCAATCAGCCTCCCTCGCAAACCAACCAGAGACAGACTCGGCGCGACAGCCTCGCAACGAGACCCGACGATGCGTCTCTTGCCTAGGGACAGCAATTTTGGCACCCTGGCCAGCGCACTATCGCTGGCCGCCGCCAACTACAAGCCAATCCCGCAGCTACCCACGTCCAACTCGTCGCAACCCCTCTCGGCCATCTCGGCCGGAGGAGACGCGCGACAGGAGCTCGGCCTCGGCCGCGGCTACAGCTTCAAGGTTCAGCCCGCCGACGCCGCCAGCTCGTACGCTGCCACCCACTCGCTCGCAGACTGGGGCGAGCCGTCCACCCTCTACGTGCCCGTCGACGCCAACGGCACCGTCCAGGGCCACGAGTTCAAGGCCGGCAGAAAGGTCGGGCCGGGCAGCTGCCCCTACTCGGAGGAATACACGCCCAAGGGTGGATGGCAGAACCTCCCGCCGCCCGTCTTCCCGCCCTTTGACCCCGTCAAGGCCACCGTGATGCGCTACCGCCAGCAGCAGGGCGTCAACCTCGGCACCTGGTTCGTCCAGGAGGGCTGGATGGAGGCCGACTTTATGTCGTGCGCCACCGGCTCCAAGCAGGCCGAGTACGACATCCTCGACGGATTCGGCAGCTCGCCCGACGGTCTCAAGAGCGCCCGCGCCTACATGGAGGAGCACTGGGATACGTTTTTCACCGAGGACGACTTCCGCAAGATGGCGGCCATGGGCATCAACACCGTGCGCCTGCCCATCGGCTACTGGTCCGTCGGTCCCACGTTCTGCCACTCGAGCCCCTTTGACGCCTACAAGAGCGTCTACCAGTTCAGCTGGCGCTACATTGCGCGCGCCATCAACTGGGCGGCAAAGTACGACATCGGCGTCATCGTCGACCTCCACGGCGCCTACGGCTCGCAGAACGGGCAGGCCCACTCCGGCCTCAACGACGGCAACATCCAGTGGTACAACAGCTACAATCAGGGCCTCACGACTGAGCTCCTCGTCTGGCTGGCCAAGGAGATCTCGGACGTGACCAACGTCATCGGCATCCAGCTTCTCAACGAGCCGCAGAACCGCGACCAGTACTGGAGCTGGCTGCCGGGCGCCATGGACGCGATGCGCAAGTCGTCGCCCTACGCGGCCACGGTGCCCCTCTACTTCCACGACGCCTTTGTGCTCAACAAGGGCGCCAACTTTGTCTCCAAGCGTCCCGACTTTGTCGTCTCGGACCACCACTCGTACTACGTCTACACCGACTCGGACCAGGGCACCAGCGCCCAGGGCCACATCTCGCAGCTCGACGGAGAGATTACGGGCGAGTTTGAGGCCGCCTCGGCAAAGGCGCGGCGCAACCTGATCGTCGGCGAGTGGTCGTGCGCGCTGGCCGACAGCTCGCTCAAGGGCATCAAGGGCGCCGACCGCGATGCGGCGCAGCGCGACTTTTGCGAGGCGCAGCGCAACGTCTGGGAGACGACGACGGCGGGCTGGACATTCTGGAGCAAGCGTCTGCAGAACTGCCAGCAGAACCCGGGCTGGTGCTTTGAGGCCTCGACCAACAGGTACCTCCCCGCGGCGTTCAACGTGTGGGACCTGCCCATCACCCCGTTCTCGCTCGACACCGACGACGCCAGGGCCGCCATGCAGGCCGGACCGCTGATGCAGGGTATCAACGCGGTCCGCCTTCCGCCTGCGGCCAACTCGACCGGCTCGGCTGCGGCCAAGAAGCTCAAGGTCGACCCGCGCATCGGCAAGGTCATGATGGCCGAGCCGGACCTCGGCGCCGAGGAGGCACAAGATGACGGGGACGAGGACGAGGACCAGGCTGCCGCGCTGCTGGTCATGTCGCGGGTCAACCCGGTCCACGCCAACGCTCCCCAGAACACCATCTCGCCCGAGGCGCTGACTCGCCGCGGCGGCGTCACGACGCAGGCGAGGCTGTGGGCGCGCAACCGACGCCTGTTTGCGCGCGCCGCCACCCAGTCGGCAGCGGTGCGCGGCTACCGCGACGGCTTCTACACGACCAAGATCTTTGCGTCGCAGGGGTACCTCTCCCGTCTCGGATTCGCCCAGCAGTACCGCCAGGACACGTGGAAGACGTACGTCGATGCCGGCGTGTATGGTGCCGGGGATGAGGAGGTCTACAAGCAGCAGTTCCTCACGGGCGCGCAGGCCGGAGAGCAGGCCATCAGCTACGTGATTTCGCAGAAGGGCAAGACGGCGCTCAAGGCTCCCGGTGCTGCCGCCTCGACTGCCTCGACAGGTCGGGCGGCGTCGGCCAGTGCGGCCGTAGCTGCAGCCGCGACCACGAGCGCCAATGTGACGGCTGCTGCTGCGATGCCGACGACTACTTCGACCGCTTCGACGTCGGCCGGTACGACGTCGAGCCCGGTTCCGTCGAGCAGCAACAGCAGCAGCAGCAGCAGCAGCAGCTCGATGACGCCTAGCGCGACATCGAGCTCAACCTCGTCTTCGTCATCGTCCTCGTCCGCAGCCTCGACGTCTGCATCTGCACAGGCTCCAGCATCGGCTACGCCGAGCACGAGCTCCAGCTCCAGCTCGACGAGCACAAAGCAAGCCGCCGCAGCCGTATCGACGTCGAGCACGTCGAGCAAGCCAGCCGCAGCCGCTGCTTCCCCGACGTCGTCTTCGAGCTCTACGCCTGCCGCCACTCCTGCTTCTGCTTCTGCCACGGCCTCGTCGGCGTCATCTGCTAGCTCGTCGACGACGAAGCCAGCCGTCGCAGCCGTCTCGCCGACTTCTTCGTCGTCGTCGTCATCGATGCCGGTGTCCGCCACGCCAGCCGCAGCCGCGACGCCGTCTTCGTCCTCTTCGTCGGCGGCGGGAACGACGATCGCGTCGACAAAGCCACCCGTCCCTTCGGTCGCCTCGACGAGCGCCCCTGCATCATCGTCGCCTTCCTCGACGTCCGCACCGGCAGCCGCCCCGACGACGGCAGGAGCGACCACGGCGAGCAGCAGCAGCAGCGTCTCGGCTGAAACGCCCGCTGCAGTTGTTGCATCGCCGTCTGCGTCGTCGTCCAGCAGTCCTAGCCCGTCTGTATCGAGCTCGACGCCGTCATCGTCGTCGTCTTCGGCATCGTCTTCTGCTCCAGCGGCGGTAGCTACACCGGCCTCCAGCAGCAGTGGTGGAAGCGCATCGAGCACGGCATCGACTGCATCTGCCTCGACACCAACACCTACGGTCTCGTCCTCGTCCGCGGCTGTTTCAACGGCTGCTGCAGCCCCTGCCGAGGTTGCCGGAGCGGGTACCAAGAGCGACGCGTAGACGGATCGATCCGGAGAAGAGATGTCAAGGAAAGGGAGATAGACGGGTTCCTTTCCCCCGTCGTCCTTTCCTATGCCTCTCCATCTCCCCTCCGTCCGTGCTTTCTGATCATCCTCTACGCCTCGCTCGTACCCGAACCCGCTCCGGACCTACCTCCCTCGCCCCCCCCCCTCCTCCGCCCTGCCCACATAGATGCACCGCCCTGCCTTGTCGTGTCCCCCACCCCGTCCGTCCCGTCCCGTTCTGTCCCGTCTGCTCGTATCTCTTATCGTCTGCATCTCTGGAAAATTGCAAGAGGAATCCACTGGTCCAATGTCTGTGCGATGGTCATGCTCGACCAAGCCGTAGTCGTGCACCGCGAAGGTGAGGGGGGGAGCAGGTCGTCATGAATTCGTGAAGTGTGAAAAAGTGCAGGAAATATGCGAGTCAAAAACCAAAAGGGATGCGCGTGTGCGCCCAGTCACGCCCTCCTCTGCCTCCTCGATGCCTCGGCAGCCGCAGCGGTGGCACTGGCACTGGCACTGGTACTCGCGGTGGAGCTCGAGCCGGAGCTCGTCTTGTACTTCCCCTCGGCATTGGGCGACTCGCCCTCGCCAAGCTGAGCCTGGACGCCCATGAGGGTCTTTGCAAACGCCTCGGTGGCGCCCCTGGCCCCGCGCAGCACGGCGATAGGCACAGCCTTGACGACGGGCCGCGCGACGCTACCGTCGCCGCCCGACGCCGAGCCGTCCTCGTACACCTCCATCGGTACCGCCAGGATCGTCTGCGCCGCCGAAGTCAGACCCCTCGACAGGCCCGCATAGGCCTGCGTCAGCGCCTCCCTGATGTCCTCTGGTTGCGAGGCGTACCGGCTGTACTGGTCTGGCCCCTCGTCCGAGGCGTCGAGCGTCGAATGGCGCGATGATGACAACGAACCAAAGTCGCCAGAGTCGTCGAGTGCCGAGCTCGAAACCGAAGCGCGCCGCCGCGATGAGCCGCTGGCGGCACTACTGCCGTCCCCGCCGCCGAGCCGCCCGGCGTGCCCTGCACCGGACGGGGGCGCGACGGCCTCTCCCTGCAGCGGCTGGCTGAGGCGCCCGCCGAGGATGTGCTCGGCCTGCTCGAGGATGACCTGGGTTCCCGTCGCCAGCCGCGCACCCAGCCGGACCGCCTCGAGCGCCGTCGTCTTTGCAAAGCTGGTCGCTCCCCGCTGCACGCCGCGGATCAGCCGCCGGTCCTTCTGGTATTGCTCGATCGGCAGCAGGACCAGGTCGGCCACGCCCGCACCGACATTGACCAGCGTCCGGATCGGCGCCACGCCCGCCAGCACGTCGGCCAGCTGGTTGGCCTTGACGTCGGGCGTCCAGATGTCGTTGAAGCAGTCAAAGAGCCGCGCCCAGCCGTCGATGCCGCGCAGCGTGATGTGGCGAAGCGTCATCTCGGACCCCTCAAAGTGGAAAAAGTTCATCAGCTCGATCGTCTTGCCCTCCTTGAGCAGGCCGTAGTCGACCCGCTTCGGCTTGTAGTCGAGCTTGAGCTTGACCGGGTAGACCTCGGCATACTCTGTCGGCGGTTCATCAAGAAGCGGGTCGTCCCAAACGAAGGGTAATGTCGTCAGCAGCGGTTCGCAGTGGCCAGACCGGCAGCGGACCTACTCGAACATACTTACGGATGAAGGGTTTGGCCGGTGGTAGCCCCGTTTCTGCCTCCGCCCTGGGAGCGTTGGGGAGTTTGAAGGCAAAGAAACGCTTGAGGAAGTCGAGAGCGTCCTGGTCCACATGAAGGCGCAGGGGCTCGATCTTGGCCCGCATGCGCACCTCTTCGTCGGCTGCGGCGCCGCCTGCAGCGCGGAGGTTGAGGATCTCCACCTTCACCATGCGTGCCTCATTGTCGCGACGGAACGCCGCTTCCTTGTCCTGCATCCTGGTAAGGAATGCGTGCCACGTGGACGTCTTGATGTTGTCGATGATATCGACCGTGTCGGCCGTGAAGGCGGTCCGAGACGAGAGATGGCGCTCCACGGCGTCGAGCAGGTCGTACTCTACCTCGATCCCGCGGAAGTTGAAGTCGATCATCGACCGTCGAGATCGCTGCAGCTTGCGCCCCTTCCGCCCCTCGGCATCCGAGACTGAGCCGCCACCGCCAACGCCGCCGAGCCCGGTGATAGGCTGCCAGGTACCGGCGTCGGACACCGAGCTGGTCTCGGAACGATCGCCGAGGCCCTCGTCCATGGCCTCGATCATCTCGGCGGGGTCCATGTCTGCGGGATCCTGGGGCAGCGCAATGTGGACGGATCCCAGCAGATTGCTCGTCGCGGCCTCGACGCTGTCGTCGGGCGTCTGCCCCTCTGCCAGGAGCTGCTTGATCTTTTGCAGACGACGCCGGACCTTCCTGGCCTCTTCCTCGATCGACTGGCGGGTGCTGAGCCAGTCGTAGCCTCCATGCAGCCTCAGCGAGAAGTCCATGTTGGTGATCCTTACCCGCAACGAGCTTGCAGACGACTCGAACGCCGAGCGAGGGCGTGCCGTCAGCTCTGGGTTGGTGAAGTACTCGGGCACCGGCTGGATGCCTTTGGGATCCAGTATCCGGATCGTCACATCTTCGTCGGCGAAGGTGACGTTGCCCACGTCTGTCGGGGCGATGGAGAGCGACGCGATCGAGTCGCCACCTAGGAAGTCTGAACCGTCCAGGAGGGTCTCGACAATCTCTGGATGGTACCGTGTGGTCTCCCCCAGAAAGTTCGGGTCCGACGGCACGTCGTCGTCGACTAGGTCAGCGACTGAGTCCATCGGTGCAGCTCGGCGGAAGGCATCCTCGTCCAGGCTGTTGAAGATGTCGATGCCAGCCTGGTCGGTAGAAGTAGAGCGGTCCCCGAGTGTACTGTCCGCATCGGTTCGCCTGGACCGGTTCGACTCGTCCTGGCTTCCCCCGGGCACCTTCGCGGACGCCGCGGTGGCGGCGGCTACCAGGCCTGCCAAGACGGCGACTGTGTCGGCGCAGAGGTAACACTTGGACCGCAGCTTGGTGACCTTGACATCGACGTCGGGTCGCGTCAGCGCGTTGAGCGCGATGCTAGCCTTGCATTCGGTCAGCGCCAGGACGCGGGCGAAGCGCAACGAATGCCAGTGCTCCGCCGCAGAGCGGGCGTTGCGGCTCTTCGACGGCTCAGAGCTGGACATGTCGTCGATGGCAAATAGGTTGATATCCGCCGCCGCCAGCTTGACCGCCGTCTTGGGCGCGTGGGTGGTGATTTTTGTCTTGACCGACACGTCGCCGAACGAAGCGGCCGCCCTTGCGGGATGGCCAGGCACGCTGACCAGGAGGCTGCAATCGCGGATCTTGAGGGCAAGTCTGGTGACCTCGTTGGGCTCGACGTTTTCAAACACGCCCTCTGGAGCCTTGAGCAGCGCGCGCACGTCCTCGATCAGGTCCGAGCCGATGGGCGGCCGGACGGTGACAAACGACAGCGCTGCGTCGATGCTAGACTCGCGATAGCTTGTGCCAGGCTCCGCAAACGACTCGATGGAGAGCGACAGCATCGGTCTGACGGTGGTGGTGAGGCCCGGTTCCGTCGTCCGCCCTACGATTGGCCCGTCGCTGCTCGACACGGCCCCCTCGTCGTCGCGAATGCACGACAACGAGAACGTCAGCACCGATGCAGAGACTGTCGAAGAGTTGGGAGAGCAGTCGTTCTCGATTTTGCAGGCGATCTCCGAGCCTAGCAGCTTGAGCTCTCGACCAGCACCGGTGGGCGTCTGAGCATCGCCGGGTCGGCCGGGGGTCCGCAGGCGGATGTCGACCTGACATATCGACACGCTCAGCGCCGCGACGCTGCCAGACTTGCGGATCGTGGCAGTCGAGTCCGTGCTGGAAGACATGACCGAGAGGCCTGCCCGAGTGCCGAAGAACCTGCTTCCAAGGATCTTGAGGCCCTCGCTGTCCAGGCTTTCGGCGTCGTCGGGCCCCATCTTGGCCCATTCTGCGGGCCACTGCGTCAAGTCGTCGGCGAGGAACTGCACAGCGTCGATGATCTGCTTGTCGAGGCGGACATGGATAGAGGGCAGCCTGCACTCGACGCGATGCTTCTCCGGACGTGTTGGAGATGTGCCAGACGGGAATCCGCCAAAGAAGTGGACCGCTGGTCGCAGTGGCGGGTCGTTGCGGTCCAGCGGGCTCGTCTCGGCGTCCACGATGCTGCCGATGCATCCGAATGCCGACGTCGAGGCTTGTCCCGCGCCTTTGTGGAATACGCCGATCTGTGATACTGAGAGCTTTCCCGTAGCGCTGGTGCTGCCGCCTCGGTGCTCTGCACCGGGCACTCCCGATGCGAAGCGCACTCCCGCGCCGCGGCTCACTCCCGCGTCCTCTGGCCCGAGCGAGGCGGCGATATCTCTCAGCTCGACGATGAACAGGCCGCTCCGCGTCTCGAGGCCTAGCCTGCGCTCTTGTCGGAGGCTGAATGCGTCCTTGCTTTCGGCCTTGCCGGGACTGCACCTCGGGACCCGGACCTCGAGCCGTATAGCGTCGGTCACGATGCTGGTCGTGGAGGCGGATATTTGGCTGTGGTCGTCGTCGAGATCATCCAGCAGGCCTTGCCTCCGAACAGGACCATCGGACGGCTGGCCGGAAATCGTGGCCGTGGACGTTTCGAGATCGACCGTGGCAGAGAGGTCGGCCCGAGACGGCTCCAGGGCTTTTGCAACGTCTTGGAAAGCGGGGAGCAACCGCGTCACCAGCGAGACGTCGAGGAAGACATGGACAGGCGCGATGGACACACGGACTCGCCGACTGTTGTTTGGCGCGGACAACATCACAGAGGCATCGATGCCATACGCGGCGCGACCGTCACCAGCGTCCAAAGAGGCGCTGGAGTTGCTGCGGTGGTGGCTGGGGCGAACCTTCCATCCCCGCTCTCCGTAGTTCGTCTTGAGATACGGATTGGCCGCGTGGGTGGCCGACCCGCGGCGGTCCTCTGCGGCGGCAAAGCGCGCACCGCGGCCGGCACCTGAAGCAGGCTGCTGGCTGGTCTGAGATGGTGCCCTCCAGTCCACCGACTCAACGTCTGGTCCGAGGAGCGGCAAGCTGCTCGAGCCCGCGGACGGCTGCGCGCCAATGGCGCGGCCGTGACTGGAGCCGTCGCTGGTCTTGGCCATGTTCGGGTCCAGAATCAAAATGGGCAGCACTCGGGAAGCCGTGGGGTCTAGCAGTTCGATCAGGGACGGCGGCAAATGCTCGAAGATGCCCACGTCCGCAACCGTCAAGTTCATAGACGCTGACGACGCCGTGGATCCTGTCTTTGCGCTGTAGGCCGCTTGCACCTCGTCAATCCTGATGCGCAGATGCCCGATGCTGGGATGCGGCCGCGTAGGGCGCACCCAGAACGTCTTGAGGCTCGCCAGCGCGAGGGCCCGATCTTGGTCCTGCATATCCTCGAGGCTCTCGTACAGGAGGACGACGTTGAGCGATTTGGCGCCCAGCTTGATATCGATACCTGCATCCTTGGCCGGAGGGGGAGTTGCGGTGGGACCAGTAGATCGACCGCTGCGGGTAGAGTGCCTCGCGTAAGCGTCCCAGAGCTCAGCGGCCCGCAGTAGCGCGCAGATCTGCGCTGGATGTATCGCCAGGGCAGGATCGGCAAGCGTGACCTCGACGCTGATGCTCGACTTTGGCGGGCGCGAAGGTCGCCGACGGCTGTTCTCGATGCTTGCTGGCCTCTCCTTGCGTGCCTTCAACGTCAAGACGATGGGTTCGGTCCCTGCGGAGAAGAGCAGCGGATCGAACCGCGGCTTTGGGTCGAGCTCTGGTGCCTCACCCTGGTGTGGAGCCGCCTCTGTTGGCGCCGTTGAGCTTGGCTGACCATCGTTGTCCAGAGCGCTCTCGTACATGCTGGATGCCGCCTCGGACAGCAGGGACGCTGATATGTCTGTGGCATCATCGTCGTGCTGCGCAAAGCCGCCGGGCACGGTCCGGGTGGCAGGGGCAGGGAAGGGCGACGCCGCAGCTTGGAGCGCAGAGTTTTCGCCCACGACCGGCCCTTCCTCGTTCCGCGCAGGTGAGGGGGGCACTGGGTCATTCGAGACCTCGATCTCTGCGCCGGTGATGGTTGCAACCCTGATCACCTCCGCCCACGTCCCGCCAGGCGATGTGCCTTCGCCGCCCTCGTCCTCGGCCGAGCCTTCGGCCGTCTTGCTCTCGACGGCGATGCTGGCAGCCTTGAGCGTGAAGGTATGTCCTGCCACGATATCGATACGGATGGCGCAGAGGCTGACCTTCAGCCGTGACAGCAGCGACTCGACAAATGTGGAAACGATCGAGCCAGCCTCGGCCTCCTCGCGCTGCGCAGCATCGAGGCTGCCATCTTCAGCGAGGAGCGATTGGTGGATCGACTCTTCGATCGCCCGCCCTTCCTCGTCCCTTTCGAGGACCTCGCTGGCTGCGGACAGAAACGAGTTGGCCAGCGCCTCTTGGATCGCGGAAGCGCTGTCAGCAGCTGTCGAGGCTTCCGCCAGCTCAGTCTCGATGGCGATTTCCGAGAGCGTGAGGCTGAGCTCGCCGCTCCAGAGGTTCGGTAGCGGCAGCCTGATCTGCACTGCACCAATCTGACCGCGTCTCAGACGCAGCGGCAACGACGGAAGCAGCCGGTTGATCGCCTTGGGGGGGGATCGCAAATTGTTGGGCGGGAAGGGCCATGGTCAGCATGCAAGCAATGCGACCGAGGATGGGGGAGACCGCGGCTCCTTGCTCACCTCTGCATCCAGCACGACATTCCTGATCTCTACTTTGCCGCTCCCAAGGCCGGAATCGATCTGGTCAATGTCGAGCTGGCCCCCGATGACGAGGTGGCCGAGGGTGCGCTTGAGGAGGTACGAGAGGATTCTCCTCTGGAGGGCAGAGGAGAGCGAATAGGCCGCCGATATCGACGGTAGCTCCCAGCCTGTGAGAAACGAGGGAAGGAAGTACGAGGCCATCGTCGCCATTGGGACGTGATCGCGTCACGGCGATGCGAGTACCGCAGAGGGTGAATATATGCGAGGAGGCCGCCTAGGTCGGCGAGATGGCTCGGCCTGCCAACATCCCCAAGGCAGAGGCTTTGAGCAAGCAAGATAAGCAGCTGCAGCGCGGATTCCTAGCGCGTGAGTTGCTACCTGTCCTCGCCAGATGAACGACCCTCGAGGCGCGAGGGGGCCAGCGACGAGCGACCGAGGGTCTTGCCAGGAGTGAGCGGCTGTGCCCAATGAGGCCAGCGAAAGATGTGAGAGAGGCTGTCTTGTGTTGCGAGAGAGTGGCGCTCCGATGGCGGTGACTAGCGGTGACGGTGGCGATGAAGGATGAAGATGGCGGTCATGATGAAGGTCGAGCTTGGCATGGCCGCCTGTTTGCCAACTTACCTCTGGCTGAGCCTGCGCCGCTCCTTGGCCGCCAGTTTAGCGTGCGTGCAGCAGCAGCTGCTGCCCTGCCCGGCCAGCGCTTCAGGGTCCATCCACCCCGCAGCCAGCCCGGTCCTCCACATGCAGCCCGTCTAGCGTCGAGCGGGTCTCTCGTGCGATAGAAGACAGCTTGGGCCAGCTCTGCGTCGCGCCCCGCCCACCTGCAGATGAGTGCGCACCCTGGCTTGGCCTGCCCTGCCCGCCTGATGGTCAGTCCGAGCCTCTGGGACGCGCCTGGGCGTGCGTTGGCCTGCAGGCGCGCCCGTCGCCGTCGTCTCTCGTCTGGGCGAGAAGGCAGGCAGGCAGGCATAGGCAGGCTGCCCCACCTGCCGGAAAGGGGGCAGCGCAGGCTAACTAGGGCCAGGCCACACATGCCAGCCAGCCGTCGGTTGCTCCGCGCCCGCCGTTGCTTTTTCCCTCTTCTGCCTGCTGGATGGCGAGACCTGGACCCCATCGAGCGGATGCATCCCTGCCGTCAGTAGTCTTCCTGGCTGCGGCCTCGACCACCACCACCGCATCGACCGCTTTCGCCGCCACCATCAGCCTCACTGACTGGCTGCATCCGCTCTCGCTCTCGCCCCCGCCCTCGTCAGCATCGGGCGTAGTCAGCCAGCTCGACCACTGCCTACCTCCTGCGCTAGCTCGTCGACGGTCTCGACATCCACCCGTCCCGGAGCGGTCCCGCACTTGGTCGTTCCGCTTCCTGCAGTCCGTCTCGACTCTTTGAAAGGCGGAACGCTTCCGACACCTGGCGTCGCCCGCCCCGCCGTGCGATGCGACCTTGAGAACAGCAGAGGCAGTCGCATCCGAGACCGCGGCCTGCCAGGCCGAGCCACAGCTTTCACACGTCTCCCTGTCACCCAGCTGTCCTGCGGTATCGAGTGACAGCCGCCGTCTCGACTACTGAGCGCCGAGTGCAGCCAATCATCCTAGCCCAGCCTCCTGCGCCGGAACATCCGCCTGTCTGTATGCCAGCGCCGCAGCCTTAGGAGGGTGCAGCATCAGCATCAGCAGCAGCATCAGCCGCCAGCGCATCCAGATGTCAGAGCTCATCTCGTCCGATCGTCAAGGCCGCCATCATCGCGACGCCTCGCTCGACACGGCTGCCTCCTCGACGCCCACCAGGCCGCCCAGGCCATCTAGGGCATCCACCTACGCCCGCAGCCCGGGCGACGTTACCTCACCCGTCAACCCTGCCCGCAGAAGCCTGCTCGGCAGGCAGAGCGGTCCCACGGACGCCACCCGCGACGACGTCGACCGCACCCCTCGCAAGCTCCAGACACACGGCCTGCCCACGCCTCCCCTCAGCGAGGCCACCAGCAGCGCCAGCGGCAGCGTAGGGCGCGCCCGCAAGGACTCGGCCGAGGAGCCTGCCGCCGCCGCAAAGACACTGGCCATGATCCCTGCCGCAGAAGCGCGCGTCGCCAGGTCAGCGTCGGCCACCTCGTCTCGCACCGGCAGCGATACCGTCGGCGCCCGCAGCCCAATCGACCATCAGAGCTCCTTCCAGTCGCCGCGCGTTGGCGCCGACTCGCCCTCGAACGGGCCCTCCCCGAGGTTCACGGCAGCGACTCTGGGGCGGCGTCGCGGCGCCGGTCTCCACTCCGCTCTTGCCGACACTCCGGAGCGGAATGGCGCTCCGCCCGCTATGGGTCGTGCTGTGAACCGCGCGCAGTCGAGCCTAGGAATGCGGTCCAGCTTCGCCGACGAGGGCCGGAGGAGCTCACTCAACATCAACCGTGCCGGCGACGAGGATGCGGCGAGCGAGACGCCCGACCGATCCGAAAGGAAGAAGCGCAGCGCCATGCACGAACAGGATGTCACACAGATCCGGTCCGAGTCCCGCCTAGGGCACAGCGATCCCATCGACGAGGACGACACCTCGCCGCGCAAGACGGCGCATCAAAGCCGATACTCGCCCCGCAAGTCGGCCGCGCTCTCGCGCAGGAGCCGCTATCACGACGAGCCTGACCACGATGCCATCCAGACATCTCCTCAGGGTGAGCCGTTCCCTCTACGCAGCCCGCCGCCCACCTACCGGTCGGTGTCGCGCGCCTCTGCAGGAAGGAGGCACGAGGATGCCTCGCTCGAAAACCGTCCAGCAACTTCGATCGGCTCTCGCGGAGACTATGGCGTAGCGCGCCGGTCCCTCGGCGCACAGATGAACCCAGAGGAAGTGGCGTCAGCCTCGGCGCGCCGACGCAGCCTCAGAGCGGCCGAAGCCAGCGCCGCCGATGAGGCATCCATGCGCCACGATCCCTCCTCCGCCACGAGGAAGTCGAGTTCAGGTCGAAGCCCTCTTCCCCTCGAGTTCAGGCTTCCCAACAAGGAGGCTAGGAAGGCTTGGCGCGAGGCCTACGCGCGGGAGCAGAGCGACTCGGTCACGAGCGATGGCAGCGACGCCGGCAATGGTTTGTCGGTCACCTCGCCCCCACAGGCAATAAGTCCGATTAACGGCTCTGTGCGAGCCCCGTCCAGGCAGACGACGACCAACGCCTCGACGGAATCGTCCTCGGCCACCCGCGCGACGTACAGGAGGAAGCGGTACGCCTCGGACGCGCAGGCGGATGAGCTGTCTCCGATCGAGCACGAAACGCGGTCGAGTGGCCAAGGTGGCCGCGTCTCGGTCGACGCCCGGTCGGCCAACCGGTACCTTACCAAGGGCCCCCTGCAGGGCACGCCGCAAAGTGCCAGACGCGGTTCGCACGCCTCCGAGATAGGTTCTCCGAGCGAGGAAGCTCGCATGCGCAAGATATCGACGTCGTCGTCTAGGTCGCAAAAGTCCTCTGGCGGCGCGTCCGAGCTGCATCGAACTGCGTCGCGGGCCAGCATGCGCAAGGTCCACGGCAGGGATGTCTTCGACGACGAGGTCTTGCCGCCGCTGCCTGGGTCGCGAAGCGAGAGCCCCGCGCTTCGATCCGACGTCACCTCGGGATCCGACCGTCTCCGTCTATTGCGACAGCGTGTCGGTGAGCTCAAGGACGCCGGCGGCACCGGCAGGCCGGGATGGTGGAACGAGGTAGACGAGGTGAGTGACTGCCGACGAGCTCGACGAGATCGGTACCGACGATGACGACTTGCTGACCGTCGATCTTGCATCTGCCCGGGACACGATGCGACGCAGCTACGCAACGAGATCGAAGCGCTTGCCGTGGCCAGCTCCAAGGCTTCCATCCAGGGGTCGAGGAGCCCGAGCGTGCAATCGAGCCGCACGCACTCGGCCCTCGGCCTGCACCGCACCCCGCTGGACACTTCGAGGTTCCGGCGCGCTCCCATGACCGAGCCTCGCAACTCGCGCCACGACCGCTCCTCGACCATTTCGGACCTCGGCTCCGGTGACAGAAGCGAGCGTTCGGCCGAGACCGAGGGGCAGCGCTACATCCGGCCGTACAGCCGCGCCACGCTCGCCCGCTCGCACACGCCACACGATGCCAACGGACGGGCACCGCAGACGCCGGACCCCCACGGTGCGCTCAGGCTGGCTGCAGGCAGCCGCGCCAGCGTCATCCAGTCTGCTACTCTGCCTGCTACGGCGCGCTTCCCGTCGGGTGGCCACGGCATGTCGACGCAGCGAGTCCGCTCCGAGGGGTCGATCGACGGCAGCAATCCCGTCCACGATCGGAACATGCGCAACGCCTTCGACATGTTTGAGCGCTACTTCTGTGCGGCGCCGTCCACCGCCACTCCGTCGGTCGGCGGCGCCGGCCCGGATTCGCTCGAGATGGTGGCGAGCTTCAGCGAGGTCGTAGCCACGGCTTCGGAGCTCAATGCTGGCCTGCGCATCCTGATCCAGGTCGCCCTCGAGGCGCAGGTCGACGCCGAAATCAGCGAGCGCAACGGCCATCCGGCCTCGGAACAGACGCTCGAGTGCTTTGCTCGCCTCGACCGCGACCTCACGAGCCTGTTGAAGCACAGCGACGAGCAAGTCCGCAACCTCACCGACGGCCTGATGGCCGTCACCCGCGCGGAACGAGAGAGGGATCGACAGCGAAAGGCGGCCGTGGCCGGCGACCAAGGCGCAGGCGCGCGCTCGGCCTCCCGAATGTCGTCCATCGCCAGCCCTGCCGACGAACTTCGCAGGAGCCTCGACTCGCGCAGCAGCACCGAACTGCGCAGAAGCAGCTCGACGCTGATCAGGGAGCCCGCCAGCCCGGCGGGCACCATCGTGGAGCGAAGCAGCATCGAGAAGCACGCAGATCGGTTCCGAGCCATCGACCGGTCGCCTTACTCGCCGCTTCAGGGGAAAGCCAGCGCGACAACCTTTGGCGGCACGCTTACCGCCAGCCAGATCAGGAGCATGGCGCCTGCCAGCAACGGAAGCAGCCACTCGCGCTCCGCCTCTGAGTTTTCGCCCCAGACACGGCTCCGCCGTGAGAAGTCGACGGTCATGGATACCGTCAAGATGCCCGCGCTGAGCCCGCGCCGGCCCAAGCTGAGCTTCCCGAGCGTCTCGAACGCCACCGCGTCTTTCAATCCGACGACGGCCCAGGGTGATGCCCAGCTGGTCGACTCGCCGATCTTGGCCGACGGCATCGCCTTTCCGACTGCGCAGGACGCGTCCGCCACCCACTCGCTTTCCCGGGCACGCAGGCTGGCCAGGGAGCCGACAGAGCTGCCAGACGCCGGCGCTGCCCCTTTCCGCAGCACCGAGGCAAGGTCTGCCGTCCACATCGCCGGCTCGCCCTTCGCTTCTGGCCATTCTCGCCGCAACACGGTGGCCGGCACTGGTGCCGAAAAGGCCGAGGCGAGCGGGCTGGGTATCGACCCTGCCTCGCCCGAAGCGACTCGTCGCCGCGGCGTCGACGAGGTCAAGAGGAGCTCACGCTCCGAACGGCCGCCCCGGCCGCCCCGGCACGACCTGATGCGGAGAGACACCGAGGACGAGGCACCGCACCTGTCCACTGCCGGCGCCGAGCCGAGCGAGGACCACGCGGGTGAGGAAAGGGACACATCGGGCATCTCGCGGCTCGGCAGCCTCTCGCGCAGCTTTGGCCGCAGCGCCGCTCGACGCATCTCCAAGACGTTTGCCGTCGGCGCCGAGTCGGAGGGCGGGCGCAGCGTCGAAGAGGCCCAGGCCTAGCCCAGCCGAGGCCAAAGCTGCCGTCCGTCACCTCGGCCGCCGCCTCGCCTTTGCCCGCGCCCAGATCCGAAGATATGCAAGCTATGCGAACATGACCCGCTCAGCCGCTTGCGCTCGAGCAAGACACGCCTCTCATTGACTCCCTCCGATCCTGTCCTCGGGATGACCCTCCCGCGCAGCCTTCTTTCTGTCCTCTTGTCCTTGTTTCCCTTCTGTAGCACGCTGTAGTAGTACTCTGAAGCTCAAGCCCATTCTCACACGACGTCAGCGACGTCCTCCGCAACCCTCGGATCCGTCTGGCCGCTGAGCCACCTTGACCGCTGTCGGCACAAGATGGGGGGCCCCAAAGCGGATCCAGTCGTGACAATGTGCGATCGAAGTCTCTGTGTTTACGATGCGATGGGGTTCAAGGGTGGGCATGAAGAGGACGAGGTACAAATACAAAGGGGGGCGGAAGAGGGGGGAGGGTGAACGAGGACGGGGCGCGCGATAGGCTAGTCTTGGAAGTCGCCGCCGTCCATGTCCTTTGGTTCTTTTGGCTCCTCGTCCTCGCCGTACTGGATGGCATTGTCGATGTGCGACAGGATGGATCCGACGGATTCCTCGCTCGTCACGTCGAGGGGCATGAATGAGACCATGCTGAAGTCCTCGATCTGTCCAGGTGCGATCAGAGAGAAAGGGGAGGGTCAGTCGTGGCGAGATCGGAGCGGGTCGGCAGCGCGATGCGCGATACGTGATGCTGGGATGCTGGCATGTGGCGGACGGAGATAAAGGGGGACTTACGAGCTGGACTAGGGCCTGGTTGAGCGAGTGGAACTTGGGATTCGTCTTGGCGTTGACCTCGCCCGCGAGCAGGAGCGGATCGGGATCGAGGTACCTGCAAGCGCGCATCGTCGAGACCGGCATCGAGCGGACGTCAGCAAGCAGCTTCAGCGCATTGCCGGATGACGGGCAAACCGAAGGACAAAGGGCCAAGGGCCGCACTCTCACCTCTCCATTTCCCTCCTCCTGCCCGCCTTTGCCTCCTCGCCCGTCTCGCCGCGTTCGACGAGGTCCATCTTGCTGAGGATGTTGAGGTGGGGCACCTCGAGGTTGATCATGGCGCTCATGGCGCTCAGCACGCCGGCAAAGTACTTTGTCTTGTCGTCCATGAACTGCGACTCGAGCAGGTAGGTGGCGCAGATTTTGAAGTTGTACGTCCGCGACAGGAGCGTCACGAGCCGCGACATGATGGGGAAGTGGGTGTAGAGCTCGATTTGGCCTGCGCGGGTGGGCGCAGAGGATGCGAGGGATCAGACTGTGGTGTAGGGCCCTCCTTGGGGTCGAGGATGGCGACTCACCTGGACAGTCGATGATGATGTAGTCGTCGTCGTACTGTCCCAGCTCCTCGTCGAGCCAGTCAAGGTTGTCGAGGAGGTATCTGGAGGAGGTGAGCAGGGGAGTGAGCGAGAAATCAGCCATGTGCGTGACTTGTTTGTATGCGCATGCGCAGGAGCGTTCCCCGCCTCGCCCGCACTCACTCGAAGCAGTAGATGAGACCGCCGTTTGGACCGAGCTTGAGCTCTTCCATGACGTCTTCGAGGCTGATGAGCTCCTTGATGTCGATCGACGGCTGGAACTCGAACCTCTCTGCGGCGGGGTCGAGGTTGAAGAGGTGCACGTTCCTGCCTATCGACTGGGCGTGGGTTATAAGTGCGCTGCAGAAGGTCGACTTGCCAGACCCGGCGGGGCCTGGGGATGGGCCGAGGGAAGAGAGTCGAGGGGATCTGGAGTCAGCGATAATGGTGGAGCGATGGACGGCAACGGCGCCGGGTGCTCACCGCTTACGAGTACGGCGTATCGTCCCATTTTCTGAGGCGCCGTCGATGGATGTGTGGGCGGGAGCGGGTCAAAGGGCGGTCCGAGGGAGGAGGGTGGTTGTATGAAACAAGGGAGAGGATCATCGAGCCGCCCCCTGGAAGAAGGTCGAGAAAAAGTTGGGCGTCACGGCAAAGTGGAGCGGACCCCGCCCGAGCGCCGAATCGGGGGACAGGCGGTCGACCTCGTCGGGCGGCGGCAGCTGCAGGCCAGGCAGCAGCCAAAGGTCGAATGCGGAGTGAGTTGGTCGAGACTGTACGTGCAGACTTCCAATCCAGGCACGGCCAACCGGTCACTTTGCCAGAGGCCTGCCTGCCTCCACGCTGAGACGCCCTGGCCTCGCCTGGCCTGGCCTGGCCTTGGCACCTCGTCCGCCCCCCGCCACCACCACTCTCTATCGACCCCACCGTCCCCTTCCTCTGCTCTGCTTCCCTCATCCACCTTCGCTTTGCACCACACATACACACACACAGCATCAGGCCACCTTCTCGCCCCGAGCACTCGGCGCCGCGCACACGATGCTCGACCACTTCACCATCTTCACCAACAACGGCCTCGTCCTCTGGTCCCGCACCTTCACTCCCGCCCTCTCCAATGCGGCACCCTCGGCCAACCCCGTAAACGCCCTCATCAAGCAGGCCTTCCTGGAACAGCGCTCCGCAGACGAAAAGTTCGACAAGGACGGCTACACCTTGCGCTGGGCATTCGCAAACGACCTCGACCTCACCTTTGTCGTCGTATACCAGCGCATCCTCCAGCTCTCCTACATCGACGAGCTCCTCGACACCGTAAAGGCGCTCTTCACCGACCTCTTTGCCCCCTTTGTCCGCAAGCTCATCCAGTCGTCCAAGAGCAGCATCGCCACCGGCACCTCCCGGATCGTCACCCTCTCGGAATCCGCCAGGCTCGAGTTCGCCGCCGCCCTCGCAGACTGGGACGCCATCTTCACAAAGACGCTCCGCTCCCTCGAAAAGGCAGCCGCACACAACAAGCGCAAGGGTCTCGGATCCAACGTCCTCGGCGACAAGCGCGGCCCAGGCGCGCAGGCCCAGGCCACCTCGATCGTCCAGGCAGAGACCGCCAGCGGACCCGCCACCCCCACAAAGGCCGTCGACGGCAAAGACGGCTCCGACATTGCCAAGAATGTCGAGGCACTCAAGAACCGGCTCAGAGCAGAGGGTGGACCTGCCGGAAGGAAGGGCGCCAAGGCCAAAAAGGCCCCCGCTTCCAACGGCGGCAGCGCACCCGGCACCCCCGGCGGCAACGTGAGCGGCACAGAGTCGCCCGGCGGCGGCAAGAAGGGCAAGCCGGCCAAGGAGATGCGCAAGTGGGACGGCTCGCGCAGCTACAGCGCCCAAGACGTGTCCGCGCTCGACTTCAGCGGCCAGAAGGTCGGAACCGATAGCGCCGGTGCTGACGATGCCGGTGGCCTCGATACCTGGGTCGATGAGAAGAGCATGGGCAAGAAGCGGTCCGACGGCGTCTACGAGATCGCCGACGTGCTCGAAGACGACGACGACGACGATGACGACGACGACGACGAGGAGCTCGACGGAGCACAGGCGGCAAAGGGTGGCTTCCTCTCCCGGTTCAGCACGGCATCGTCGAGCGGCTCGTCGCTCTTTTCGAGGCTGACGGGGGCCAAGACGCTCACCAAGGAGGATCTCAAGCCGGCGCTGACGGCTATGGCCTCGCACCTGCAGAGCAAGAATGTAGCGTCGGACGTGGCGCAGCGCCTCTGCGACAGCGTCGAGCGCAACCTGGTGGGCAAGAACCTGGGCTCCTTTGGCTCGGTCAAGGCCGAGGTGCGCAAGGCGCTCGAAGAGGCCATCACGCGCATCCTGACGCCGCGCAGCAGCACCGACATCCTCCTCGAGATTGCGACCAAGAAGCAGCGGTCGGTCGCCGCGTCGTCGCTGGCGCTCGCCTCGACGGCCAAGGAAAAGGAGCTGGCGTCGAAGCCGGAGCCGTACTCGATCTGCTTTGTCGGCGTCAACGGCGTGGGCAAGTCGACCAACCTGGCCAAGGTGTGCTTCTGGCTGCTCCAGAACCGGATGCGCGTCCTGATCGCTGCGTGCGACACGTTCCGCGCGGGCGCCGTCGAGCAGCTGCGCGTCCACGTGCGCAACCTGGGCCAGCTGCGCGTCGAGGGCGTGCCGCTCGACGAGCAACGCGGGCGCATCGAGCTGTACGAGCGCGGCTACGGCAAGGACGCGGCGGGCATCGCCAAGGACGCGCTGGCCTACGCCAAGGCCGAGGGGTACGACGTCGTCCTCATTGACACGGCCGGGCGGATGCAGGACAACGAGCCGCTGATGCGCGCCCTCGCCAAGCTCGTCGCCGTCAACCGCCCCGACAAGATCATCTTTGTCGGCGAGGCCCTCGTCGGCAACGAGGCCGTCGACCAGATTACAAAGTTTGACGGCGCAATGAAGGACTTTAGCGGTATCAGCAACCCGCGCGGGCTGGATGGCAGCCTGCTCACCAAGTGGGACACTGTCGATGTGAGTAGCAGCGTCCGCCGGCGATAGATCGAGAGATCGAGAGAGAGAGAGAGAGAGAGAGAGGGGACGAAGGCGCGATGGCGGTGGCGGTGA